TAGCCGGCAACGAGAGGTCCCTCCCTATGACCGTAGTCAAAGCAGCGCGAAGGCTGTCCCACGCTGGGCATGACTCGCGAGTATGCTGCGCCGAGTCCTCCACGCCACCCCCGCAGTGATGGCAGGCGGGGCTTTCTTCCCTGCCCACCACCCGCCACAGATACCTGCCGAAACATCCGTGTCCCGACAGCAACTGTGACAGGCGGTAGGTCAGTGGGCCAAACGTGCGACCCACCCACTCGCAAAGAACAGGCCTGACAGCGGTGGCCAGTTCATAACTGGCCGTCGGAGAAGCCAGTCGCTCACCCCATCTACGTAGAACGTTGGCCGCCGCATCCCTTCTCCATTCGGCGACCGACCCGGACGCAACTCCTCCGTCATGGCTGCGAGCCTCCGCGCGCCGGTGATAGACAGCCGACAACGCATCGGCCTCCAGGTACCACGGTGGCGTGCTGGCCAGCACGCAGGCCCCCTCAAAAGACACTGTACGGTACGCCCGCGCCACCCGTCGCGCCAAGATACGCTGCGGACGGCGGAGGTAGGCTGTCGTTCGCGGGCCGAGAGACCGGGCCCATACAGGCGCACCGTACAGTGCCATCGATCTAACGACCCCAGTGTAGAGTCTACGACATGCCACACTGGGACCACCGACGTTCGGAAGCAGGCGCCCCAACGCGCCAGCCGCCGCGACCAACTTGGGCTCCAGTCGCCGGAAATGCTCGCCGAACGTCCATCGACTGTCGAGGACCAGCCCTAGGTACTTCAGCCAGGGCTGAACAGAGATAAAAGTTCCTCCGACCACAATACACGCTCCCCTCGGCGGTCCCCTCCGAGGACCGTGGAAGGAAATGGCCTCGCACTTGTCAAGAGCCACCTCCAATCCCAGGGTACGAATCCGTCGCACGACTTGAGCCACACCCGCTGTTGCGACGATTGACGCCTCTCGATAAGATGAACCGTAAGCCGTGACCAGGGTGTCGTCTGCGTAACAAGTCACGCAGACACCGGGAACATTAGCTCCCCGTAACACCCAGTCGTAGCCGATGTTCCACAAGAGGGGGCCTAGGACAGACCCCTGTGGAACACCGCATGACATCGCCTTATAGACCCAACGGCCCCCCTGCGTGGGGTATACTATTTTGCGGCCCACAAAATAGTCCGCCACTACGACCTGCAGGTACTCGGGCACCCCGTGCCACCTCAGGCCTGCAAGTATTGTCTCCCAGGGAAGTGTGTTGAAGGCGTTGGAGATGTCTAGCGATACCGCTAGCAACACCCCACCCTGAGACACAGCCTCCTCAGCGAGCGACCTGACACGCAGGATTGCGTCGACCGTCGACCGGCCCTCTCTGAAGCCGAACTGGGTCTCGTGCAGACTTCTGCTCATCGACTGGACGAGACGAGCCGCGAGCACTCGCTCAAAGAGCTTACCCGCCTCGTCCAGGAGCACAATCGGCCGATATGCCGACGGTAGGCCCTCGTCCCGGCCTGGTTTCCGTAGTAGGACCAGTTTCCCCACCTTCCAACAAGCCGGAAACCGGCCTCGGTCCAGGCACATGGAGAACACCTCACGTATCCATGCCTCCATTGCCTCAGACGCTATGTTCACCACCCGACCGGGAACTCCGTCCAAGCCCGGGGCGGTCCTCTTGCTCCGCAGCTTTGCACGCGCACGACACAGTTCCTCCTCGGATACCGCCGGACTACCGGACTCGTTTGGCGAGTTATCAGCCATAGCTGGAGGCGTCCAAGGCTCCCTTCGAGGAAACAACGCCTCCACCACCTCCTCCAGGAACTGTGGCTGAAGAGTGGTCGTGATCGGCTGGGTCCAAGGCCTGGATTTGGCCCTGATGACCTTGTAGGGCCGCCCCCACGGATCCCGATCCAGTGACTCTAGCCACTCGTTCCAGGCCGCCTCCTTGGCAGCGCTGATCCCCATCCGCAGAGCCTTGCGTGCAGCCCGGTACTCCTCGTATAGGACGTCCTCTCTCTGACGTAGTAGGTACCTACCTACTTCATAACTGAAAATTAACCTCATGCAATTATTTAATATGAAAATGAAAATATATTTATTATAAATCATATTTTTTTTTAAATTTTCATATTAAACTTTACTTGAATAATATTTTTCATATATCGTAACCTTTTGACCTATTTTTTGTAATAATCTTTGATAATAGCAGATGTTTACTACATACCTATATCTACGAAGATTAATAATTTAATTTATATATAGGTATGAAATAATGAATGCTTTCTAGGAATAAAGAAATAAAAAAATTACATACATAAATATATAGGTATATGGTATATAAAAATTCCTAAGTATACAAACATACTCATGAAAATAATTCAATTTACTTATAAAGTAATTAAATCCAAAAGAATCCTTTCACAGACATACAAATAAAAAGAGATACAAAAATATATAATTACTGAAATCTTAATTAACAAAGCAATATATAATTATAACAAAATATAATTGAGGAAGTCAATAAAATTCACAAAGTATAATTGAATTCATGTAATTCATCGTAAATGTTATATGAATTCATAATTGAATGCCGTCGTTAATGTTTTATTGTATGAATTGCGAATTGATTTTTAGTTTTTTAATGACTTTTGGAGGGAATTTTTTTTTTAATGAGTTTTCTTTGTTTTTTGTTTTAATTGTTATTTCAGGATTTGAACCTGTTACTTCAGTATAGCTTTCCACTTGCTTTACCAACTGAGACATCGTATATGTTATTTTCGTTGTCATTATGGTTATTTTATAAGACCCTTTGTGGTTATATTTAGGGACTATAATAATAATATCTTTGCAATTAAGGGCAGTATTTAGGGTCTTAGGGCTTGTAATAGGTACTCAAAGATATTTTATTTGTTTTTAACTCTACTGCTTATGTTTTTCTGCTATTCTCTATAATGCTCTAGTTCTTGATATATAAGATTTTTTATACTGTCATTATATTTGACTAAAATTTTATTTTTATTTTAACCTTGTAGAGGAAATATTAGAAAAAAAAACAATATGATTAATAAAAAAATAATGATCAGAAAAAATCAATCTAGGTATACCTAGATTAATTATTATTATTAAATGTCTCAACTGACATTACAAGATCCGGTCAATGATAGTACCAAATAAATTATTACATCAAATAAACAAATAGCCGGCGGTAGTTATGTTGGGTGTGAGCGAGACGGCTGTATATACCTGTCCTTATCTAAAGGCGGGGCCTGTGATGGCCACGCCCTCCACATCGATCCTGTTATAATTTATTCATAATTCCTCATTGTTTATGACAGCCTGGTACCTCGGGGGACTTGGTGTTTTTTTATGGCATTCCTTAGATTCCTTTATGGGGGTTATTTGGGGGTCATTAAGGGGTTGTCAGGGGTTGTGAACGAAGAACCGTGATGATGAGATGATTAATATCTTCTCCCAACATTAATTCTCGTAGGATTTCATATTATTTTGATTAAAAATTGTCAAAATTGTTCATTTTATGAATTTTGTATTAACTAAACCAATTTCCATGATGTTGTAATAAAATCATAAACAAATAATCGTACAAGAGATGTAGGTTTAAATTTTATAGAAAAACATTAATTCTATAAATAAACTACTTTTGGGGATCATTAAAATGGAGTGCATACAATTTTATTTTATTTGAAGAAGTTTTACGTGAAATCTTTTAAGACCTGACTAGTTCAAATCTTTTGAGATTTTACGAAATTTCATAATATTGCTACAGTAAATTCTAATCTAGATAACTAGTTCAAAATTCCATTTAAATATATGTATTTTTTGTACACATATTAAATTTAACAAATAATGCAGAAGTTTAAACAGTTTTAGAAGATAATTCATACATGAATTAATTTAAACAATTTGTTTTTATCAAATATATATTTTATTAGCTTTCCGCAAGCAGCTTCACCCGGGTGGAGTTCGGTTATTTCACGTTTCCAAGAGAACCTTTCAAAAGTCTGGGATAAAAACAATCCTATGTTCTTTCTCAAGGTCAACTCTATCTCTGTACCAAATTTCATTAAAATCAGTTCAGTGGTTTAGGCGTGAAAGCGTAACAGACAGACAGGCAGACAGAGTTACTTTCGCATTTATAATATTAGTCGGGATTCCATCTCATCTATAATATAATAACTTTTTCCTCTAGAATAGTACTAAATAGGAATATAGATCTAAGTATAGAAGATTAAATGCCTTACATGACTATTTAATAATTCAAGCCGTAAGATTTCTTCTATGTATACCATTAGACATAATCTTAGCTTATACAGCATCACTTATTGTGTTAATAAAGAAAAACAAACTTATGTTTAGAAAAAAATAATAGTTCGTAGAGTCCTCTTGTGTATAAGAAGTGAAACTTAGTAATTTTGAAATGAAAATAGAAGGCCTAGGTATTGATTTTTAAGGAATTTTTACAAGAAATTTTACAAGTCACTATTGAGGACCAAGTACTCCATCTCGCTGTATATCTTTTCATAAGTCGCGTTAAATGTTCAACGCAACCATGTTGGAAGTGGTATAAGCAGTTTTATTTCAATGAAACTAATAGTAAACTACATAATCCCGATGTTTTGGTTACTTTACACTTTACAGCAACCGTGATCACGGGCAGACGAAAGACCAAACTAATATTCCTAGCATAAGCACCATTAAAAATTTCATTTTTTAGTCCAAATGTAATAAAAGACATTAAAAGAAAAAGCTTTTATATATTCAAATAATATAAATAATAATCATTCACATCTCGACGTTGTAATCGCGGTTGCTGCAAAGTAACCGAAACGTCGATTATATAAAGTTTAAAATAACAAAACACACGTAATAATCCGACAACATTACTTTCAATTTAATCCAAACGTTTTTTCCACTCAATCAAAACCATTAACCATCTCCGTTATCTTTAACCGCGTTATCTTTTATCTTTTATGCACATACTTATCTTTTATCTTTCTTTTATCTTTAGAGAAGCTCCGTCTGTCTCTGTGCGTGGGCTGCGGCGGCCAGATCCACGACCAGTACATCCTGAGGGTAGCTCCTGACCTCGAGTGGCACGCCGCCTGCCTAAAGTGCCAGGAATGTAGGCAGTTTCTGGATGAGTCCTGCACCTGCTTCGTTAGAGACGGGAAGACTTATTGCAAGAGGGATTATACCAGGTAAGACATGATTTACATTACACACACACATAAATACACACACACATGCATACCTACGTATGACTGATACTTAAATTAAACACATGCAAAGCACACAAAGAGACTCTAATATATATGTAAAGTTTTTAATTCGATAATAATATAAGGAGATTTCTATTTAGTTTGTTTATGCTTTTAATTCTAATATTATTTAAAATGATTTATTCACGCACACACGCACACTTATATACAAATTTAACTGATCCTTGAATTCAATTTAAGCGAAGATATGTTGAAAAATTCATCGAGACGTATGTACCTAAACGAAAAGTATGATACTATAGCTTAGTTTCTAAGGCGACTTTAACGATTCATAATACGGTCGGGGGTCAAAACCCGGATAAAAATTTAATTAAAATTTAGATACTTAGTTTATTTAAAAAACGATTTAAAACTATCTTCCGTATTAAATATTATATGGTAAGAAAATATTTTACATTTTTTTTATACATATTTTAACTATAATAATTTTATATATTATATTTTAACTGTACAATATCAGTAATATAATATAATAGGTTGGGGAAAAAGAAAAATTTTTACGTGAACTTCAAGACTTTATTTAACATGTTTTGCATTATCCGATTTAGGTCAAATATGCACCATTTTGTTCTATAATTTGTTGCCATTTTAATGGTAGCCATTATGCCTCTCTCATAAAAGTCTTGGTCCTTATTAGCGAAAAACTCCAGCAATTGATTTTCACACTCTTCCCTTGATGCCAATTTCTTATCACTAAAAAAGTTTTGCAATGCAAGAAAAAGATGGTAATCGCTTGGTGCGAGGTCCGGACTGTATGGTGGATGCATCAAAACTTCCCAACCAAGCTCCTGGAGTTTCTGACGAGTCACTATAGAAGTGTGTGGCCTGGCGTTGTCCTGATGGAACACGACACCTCTTCTGTTGGCCAATTCTGGCCGTTTCTGGTCAATTGCTCGCTTCAGACGGTCCAGTTGTTGACAATAGATGTCTGAATTTAATGTTTGGCCATATGGAAGCAACTCGTAATAAATGATTCCTTTCCAATCCCACCAAACGCAAAGCAGAACCTTCCTGGCCGTTAGTCCCGGTTTGGCCACCGTCTGAGCTGCTTCACCGCGCTTTGACCACGATCGCTTTCGTATAATGTTGTCGTATGTGACCCATTTCTCATCCCCAGTCACCATCCGTTTAAGAAATGCGTCGATTTCATTACTTTTGGCCAAGGCTTCGCAGATGGAAATTCGATCCATCATGTTTTTTGGTGTTAATTGGTGTGGCACCCAAACATCAAGCTTTTTTTTAAACCCAGCTTTGTGCAAATGGTTTAAAACTATTTTGTGGTCGATCTTTAACTCCTGGGCGATGCTACGACTACTAACATGCCGGTCCACTTCGATGATTTCAGTGTCTTTGTCGACATTTTCGACGACGGGCCTGCCTGTGCGAGGGGCATCCTTAACGTCAAAAATACCCGAACGGAATCGACGAAACCAAAATTGCGCGTAATTAGCTGTTACAGTATCGGGACCATAAACACTATTCACATTTTCAGCCGCCTGACTTGCATTTTCGCCCTTATCAAAGAAAAACTGTAAAATGTACCGAATTTTCCCTTTGTTGACTTCCATCTTTAACGCCGTGTAACTCAGAACTGAATGGACAAAACAAAAAACTGCAAACGAATTCTTTTAGTGCGAACTCTTACCTTGACAACGAGCATAAATTTGAAATTGTTTGATCGATAATTTACAGCCATCTACCGAAAAAATAATGGATTTCTTTTTCCCCAACCTATTATTATGTATAATATATTATACAAGTTAATTCCACCTGAATTGTCTGTCTTTTTTTCATATAATGTCTTGTACGTATAAATTTATTATAAATAAAAATCACATTATCATTATGAAGGATACCTAATGTTTGAAATATTTCCATACTATAACAAAGAACATGTCATACAAAACCACAGTGTAAATTAATGTTTACGTGAATCTTGTACTACCGTTGTTTATACACTGTGTAACAGTTACTTTGTCATAAAACCGTTAGTTAAAATTTATTATATAAATATTTTTCTTCATATAAGATAAAAATGTAATTATATTCTTAGTTTAATAATTAAATACACTTGTCTAGTATTTGTAGATAAAAGGTATAATTTACTAAAAAATGTCAAAACATACCATAGATAACTAAAAATACTTTCTCAATTGAACGCAGAGAAATCTACAAGCTAATTATAAATCAACAAACACGATATTTGTTTACAGAATACATTCTAATAATAGATAAAAGTTTACAATAAAACCATATTTAGTCTATGCTTTATAAACCTTAATCCTTTTAATAAAAAAAAACAACACAAATATGCGTCAATCACTATGGTCTAACGGCGCCACTTTTTAAACACAGACAACTAAGTTGGATCCACTGAAATAACTTAGCTGTTTACCTTTTCACCCTTCTATAACGCCGCAGAAATATAGAATTACACATCAGCAAACACAGAACACTCAAACAGTTTAAATACAGACAACCAACCTCTTTGCTATGTAATATAGAGAATATTATCGCTTGGCAAACAATAAAACCTAATTTGGCAGCACGGGAATTGTCTTTGCCGCTTTGTATAGTGACGCCGAGAAAAACAAACCGGGTTTGACTTGGCATTATGTGTTTTGGCGCCAAAACAAACGTCACTCTGACAGCACAGCGGGCGGCGGGAATACGATATGTCTATACTGTTAGTTTCCGTTCGTATAACTATCTAATATTATTATTCTGTTAACCTAATGTATTATTTGTTTATGTCTTGTTAATTTAATCCGTGTTTATTTTCACACGGATTGATTTAGTTTGTTTATACAAGCATTCTTCGCCCACTTATGTCACTTAGGCGTAGTTTCACTAAATTAAAATCATTTTTGGGAATATGGCCACTGTATATACATATCTTATATACAAAATTCTGGTGTCGCGGTGTTAGACAGAGAACTCCTCCGAAAGGGCTGGACCGATTCTCATGAAATTTTGAGAGCGTATTGACTAGGTCTGAGAATCGGCAAACATCTATTCTTCATACCCTTATTATTATTATTTTTTTTCGGATGAATTTTTTTTATAATGTAACATTAAAAAATACATACAACCCAAAATTTTTACATTTTTTTATCACCAACCCCTATTTTTTTATATGGCAACACAACATTTACCTGGCTAGTATATATATATATATATATATATATATATATATATAAAATTAAAATAGATTAACCCTTCCAATAAAGACGGAAACTAATGTTTACATATTGAATTTCAATAAGAACAAACATCCTAATTCCTAATGTTACTTATATCGAATATTCCGGATATGACGAAACGGATGTATCAATTGACAGTCCCAATTAGAATTATCAATAAATAAACATAATTTATATAAATTAAATTTACAAATAAAGTATGAGAATTTGTATTTATTGAATTGTATGGAAATGACGTCACAATAAAATTAAAGAAAAAATTTGTACAAGAAATATTCATTCATTCATATATATGATTTTCGCGAGTTTTCATTCAAATGAAACTATTTTCAAATACTACTCGTCTTAATGATCACGGTTGCTGTAAAGTAACCGAAACGTCGGGAGTATGTAGTTTATAATCAAAAATAAAGTTCGTAGTACATTCGAAAAATATTCCTTTCATTCATATGTATGTATGTATGTTTGTTTAACCCTAAATCCAAAACCGTTCCCCGCACCTCTCAATTAGCGACATCCGAGATGATACGCGCATCTCCCGTTACTTTGTCCAAACATGAAGCGTTCACATTCATAAGCGGAGCGGATTTTATATATAATATTTTCATTCTGTTATAAAAAAATCGCCAAATACCATGTATGATTATAGTCCACAATAAATTCTGTTTATATGTAATGCTAACTTATATAATATGAGATTAAATATTTATACGTGAAAATAAAAAAAAACTTTTTATTATTTCAAACTATCTTATATTTATACTGTACTTATGTATTAAAATGTAATTACGAAAATAATAATAATTTTAAACTTATTAATATTAATATAGGATTCATTGTATACAATTCAAAATGCTTAAATTTCCAATTACTTAACGGTTTTCAATATCATAAAATGTTTGACAATAAAAGTATTTAAATATTTCGTCATATATGTATATTATTTAATACAGTTTAAATTCAATTTTATTTATTTTTCAGTATTTACAGGCTGATAATTAGGGGTGAGGGGTCAGATTTAAATTTGTTTACACAGTTATTTTATGAGATTTTTTAGTATTTTTTTTGGGTAGTGGCAACACTAACCTTCACTACTGTCACTTGTCTCCGCTGACGTATTACAGTACATTTGAGTTACTAGAAGTGTTTATTTTTTAGTTTAAATTATGTAAAATTTTCATATGATCGCGTAAGGACCTCAGGAATCTAATTCAAGGTTTGTGAAGTGTTTTTTTCGTCTTTTAGTCCGGATATTTCGTTTCACGCAATTAAAAAGAGATTAATGCCATGCTATAACTTTTAGTTGAAAAAAACGTACTATTATTATCAAATACCATTGGGGCAGTTTTGAATACTGTTCAAAACTACTCCAACTAATAATTGTTTATTTTACATTGTTTTTGTTATTCTATTTTTATGTGGAATATTTATCATTTAAAGGTTATAATGGTTCGCAATTACAAAAAAAAGAGAGATTAAAATCAACGTGGAAAACATGAAAACGACTCTTTTCTTATAAGAAATAATATTTATTATAATAAAACCTTTTCGGTCTTATAATCTTGGATGAAAGCTATCAACCAATGCATTTGTCGTAACTGCCAAAATGTACAGCAATATACACTCACATATATACACAATAAACAAATTAACTTCTTAATTAATTAATCTATAATATATATTTAACCAATAATAATATAAATTTATATATAAACGCTTTATAAATCACGTCAAAACTGTCACCTCATGTGTGGCCGCCATGACAGCTGCATGTCAAATGTCAATCGCAGATGTTTATAATATCAGAGTTGTGTAAATACTGTCTCTATATTTAACACGTGCTTTCATTTTGTTTTAAATAATTTAAACAAATATTATGGAATTTAATTCTATGTTACAATATATTACAAAGTTTATTTTGGTTGATATTTTTTTTTGCGATAGCTTCAATCACACTACGATTGTGAAATATAATGCCAATGCTATGTATTATAATTTTTAACACTGTGTCGGAACACGAAAGATATGTTTTATTTATATTTAATTATTTTTATATCAAATTAATAGTAATTTTTTTCGTAAATATTTTTGCTATACCTGACATTACATAGATTTTTATAAATTACATTATTATAAGGTTGAATAAATAACTGTAGGTAGGTAAATGATAATCCAAAAAGTATAGTAAACCTGTAAAACCGTAAACGCATCGAGGGAGTTATTGACCGGCACTTAGGGAATGAAACACCCACCCCTATTTCCCGACGTCGGCAATCTCGCTAAAAGCATTCTATATTGTCTATGCCGTGTTATTGAACACGCTCTATGGAGGTTTTAATGGGTGAATTTTTTTAAAGGGTATTTTTTTATATATATGTATATAAATTGTAAGCTTTTATTCCGTCTTTATAATGAATGTAAATTTTATATTGTTCTTTAAGATGGTAAGAATAATAATGAAATGTTTGATTAATGTATTTTTTTTCATTTTTCTTTCCTATTTTTAAATTTTTATATTTATATTTGAAAATCGAACGATTGTATGAAAAGATTATTTTATTTTCTTGTTTCCCAAGTAAGGGGTAAGCGGGTTATTTTTTGGGAGTGTATGTACATATATGTACCTATATATTTCTTCAGCACCCTTATACATCTTGTCGTATTTTTTGTTATGTATCAATATATACGTCTTAGTCGTGAGAGTAAGATTGGGTACATTAAAATTATAAAAAAACATGAATTATGTGTTTGTAATATGCTAATTGCTAAGTATGATATCAAAATAAATAAATATAAATTAAAAACAATCAGATTTTCTAGTCCGCTATTTAAAACGCGATTTTCTTAAAAATCCGTTAACTGGTTATATAAAATATAACATTAAATAAATTATAAATATTATTTATCCTGAGTGTTTTCAAGTTTTCATATTACATCCTTCTGATCAACGTGGCCTTAATGGTCAATCAGTGATTGGACAATGTAATTGGTATAAGGTTCGATTCCCGGCTGGATATGTCACATAAGTTATATGTACCATATATTTATTGAAGATTTGACTAAGAGAATCTTTATTTCACGTTGTATTCATACGTTCTTTTCGTATCTGGTAATTGAAAGTCCAAAATTTAGAATGATTCAAATTATGTTAAATGATATTAAAAATTCTAACTAAAACATTATTAATTGCAACTATATTTCTTTAAAGTTAAAATATATCGCAATTATAAATTATTTCTATTGTATATTAAAGTTTCGTTTATAAGGAATAATAATTACGATAGGACGAGATCAAAGTGAGCAAAATCGGGTGATACACATAGTATTAGAGACGAAACCTCTCATCATTCAATATATTCATATGCGTGTGTCGGGTCCATCGTTGTAGTGAGAGGAGCTTCAACAGTGACTGGGACTTGTGACCCAGGTGTAGGTTTAAGGAACCCTATATAACGTTAAACGACTACTTATACTATTCCGTAAAATATATTTTTTAAACAACTCATGACCAATTTGACTTCTCATCTCAATAGCTGAGAATATATACAGGGTGACTGGTGAATTACTATCAATATTTAAGGAGAACACACGGTACATGATTCTCATTCGAATTATGTAAAAAAAATAGGCACTTAATTTTTGACAAAATTTCCGTATAAATAAGTAAAGTGTTGACACGTTCCAAGTGTTCAAGTGTGGACGCGTGCGGCGGCGTGCTGATACAACACTACGTCACGACACGCGTATGTCTGAGTATCAGTGTATACCTAATCTGTAGGGTGTTCACACGATGCGTAATTAATTACATAACTTTTGGTTAACTTTACTTAGAAGTTTATTAATATTTATGTTATATTAATTTTTATTTTGTCATCTATGATCGTCAAATATCACGTCCTCAAATATCGATAGTAATTCACCAGTCACCCTGTATATACTTATATCTTATTTATTATATATTGATAAGAAATTAACAATTATTGATAATAACATGAAGCATAATTAATTAATTTATCGATATCAAAATATTGATAGGATTTTTTTAATAAAATTTGTTGGAACATTCCGTAAAATATTAAAATCAGAACATTCCATTCAAGAATCAATTTTCGTAAAAGAAGAAAAATAATTTACATATTCTTAACTACTCCGATAATAATTAGATAATTATTTATGAAAATAAAAGTTTTATTAAATGTCCCAATGTATTATAAGTGTGAAAAGTTATATGTGTTTAATACCATATGTACATAAAGGTAATGTATAGATTCAATCTTTTAGACGTAATGCTAAATATTTTTTTTATATCACTTAATATAAATCTATATAACACATACTGATGATAAAATTTAAACAAAAACGGAGATTATTGTAAGTAAAATTAATCCACAAATCTTATATTCAAGAAAAGAATAATGTAATCACTTTAAATTTTTCACAACGTCACTCTTTTATTGTAACTTGAACTAAGTTTTCAAAAAATTTTGAATAATCGACATTCTTTTGTTTCAAAATGAGTTTTTGTTTTTTATTGTTTCTATCTAAAGAAGTGGTGGAGAGGACAATATTTTATACATATATGTACAAACTTTTCTTTCTTCTTCTTCTTCCTGGCAATTGTCCAGCTTTAGCCAGGGTCTGCCTTACATGCTGTAAAAAGTATTGGCTTATTGTTTTTACGATCGGCCGCCTGCCTGACGTCAACTCTTTTTGGGAATATATAGTTTTTAAGTCTTTCATGTATCCTATACAGGGTGACTGGTGAATTACTATCAATATTTAAGGAGCATACTCGGTACATGATTCTTATTCGAATTATGTAAAAAAAATAGGTACTTAATTTTTGACCAAATTTCCGTATAAATAAATAAAGTGTGTACACGTTCCAAGTTTCCTAGTGTGGACGCGTGCGGCGGCGTGCTGATACAACAACACGCCGCCGCGCGCGTATGTGTGAGTGTGTAGTGTAGAGTAATCTGTAGGGTGTTCATACGATGCGTAATTAATTACACAACTTTTGGTTAACTTTACTTAGAAGTTTATTAATATTTATGTTATATTAATTTTTATTTCGTCATATATGATCGTCAAATATCACGTCCTCAAATATCGATAGTAATTCACCAGTCACCCTGTATATTGTTGATGTGTATTTAAATCTCATTATTTATTTCATCATCAGATTATTCGGGACCAAGTGTGATAAATGCGGTTCATCATTCAGCAAGAACGACTTCGTGATGAGAGCTAAGACGAAGATATACCACATAGACTGCTTCAGATGCTGCGCATGCGCACGGCAACTTATACCCGGTGAGTTACTTACAAGATATGTACTAGTCATTGCCCGCGACTTCGTCGGAATAAGTTTCAGAATTAGAAATGCATAGATGACCGCACAAACTCTATTCCTTCTTAAAGACAGTAGATAAGATTTTGGATTTGATAATTTTTTTTTTTCAATCGAATGAAAAGTATCCTATGTCCGTCTCCTTGTTCTAATATATCTCTCCACCAATTTTCATCAAAATCCAGACAGACGTTCTTGAGTTATAAATAGTGTAACTAATACGATTTTCTTCTGTATACAGGGTGACTGGTGAATTACTATCAATATTTAAGGAGCATACTCGGTACATGATTCTCATTCGAATTATGTAAAAAAAATAGGTACTTAATTTTTGACAAAATTTCCGTATAAATAAATAAAGTGTTGACACGTTCCAAGTGTTCCAAGTGTGAACGCGTACGGCGGCGTGCTGATACAAAACCACGCCTCCGCTGCGTATGTGTGAGTGTGTGTGTATACCTAATCTGTAGGGTGTTGACACGATGCGTAATTAATTACACAACTTTTGGTTAACTTTACTTAGAAGTTTATTAATATTTATGTTATATTAATTTTTATTTTGTCATATATGATCGTCAACTACCACGTCCTCAAATATCGATAGTAATCCACCAGTCACCCTGTATAAGCAAATTACAAAATCAAATAAAAAAAATGCGGGCTAAAATATGAGACAACTATTATCCTAAGTCCTAGTTAACATCGTCACTACATACGAAATTTTTCGCGTTTCTCACTCAATAACTCACCTTAATTCTACGTGAAGTTTAGAAAAGTAATATATTAGACAAAATTACCGTATTTCTACATCATAATGTTAATAATAAATCCTGTAATACATTTGTATTGTACCCCAAACCGTCATTCTCGGGGGAGGTAATTTACAATAGATAAAATACAAACTGTAATTTAATATGTTACTTACAATTCTATGTAACAGTTATCAATAGTTGTAGTGTCATTCTACCTTAATGATTAATTGGTTATACAGAAAATTTTAATACAATTATGATTACTGCAAACTAAATATCGATATAATATTAGTGATTATTTAGTCTTGTACCCGGCAATTTCCCAGCTTTAGCCAGAGTCTGCCTTACATGTTGTGAATAGTTTTGGCTATTTTTTCACGACCAGCCGCCTGCCTGACATCAATACTCTTTGGGAATGCATTAATCAGTGATGTCTAAATACTCTTAGAAAATACATATGACTCCGAAAAATCACATTGGTCGAAGGATCGAACCCGCGCCCTCATGCATGAGAGGCGGGCCTTTAAACCACTAGGCCACAACTGACTTATTAAGTATTCTATAGAAATGTAGTTTTTAGTTTTTAATGGGAACTTATAATAAGGGTATAATGAACAATATAATTATTTCTTTGATAACTTTTAAATAAAAATTAAATTTAAATGTTATCTTAGAGACACTCGTACATTGTAACCTTCCAATAAATCTTCAAAGATAAGAATTTTATTGTAATAATTTAACTTAATTTATACTTAAAATATATTTAAATAAAGATAAATTAATTTAATTAATTTATTAATCGATATATTGGGCGTTTTATATAATACAAAAATTTTGTATTTATGGAAAATCTGTTGACACGTATATACATATATGTATTATTATCAATGACTTAGAAATTATTATTAAAATATGTATGTATTTCTAATTTTTAATTATTATTATAATCATTTATATTAAAAAATAAAAATATTACGAATTTATTACATTTTATTTTAATCATGTATTCATTGAAGTCTTTTATCATAATAAACTAGTTTTTGCCCGCGACTTCGTCTGCGTTAATTTCGGCTTTAGTAATATATGTATAGCTGACCGGGCGAACTCTATTCTGCCTTATAGGCCGAAAATAATCAGATATTGGAGTTTATTAAGTATTTTTTATTTTCGATCGAACAGAATTAAATATCCTATGTCCGTCTCCTGGTTCTAAGCTATCTCCCCGCCAATTTTCAACCATATCCTACAGCCGTTCTTCAGTTATATATAGTGTAACTAACACGACTTTCTTTTATATATATAGATACAGAAATTAATTTTAATTATTGTTTTAGGTGACGAGTTCGCATTGAGAGAAGGCGGAGCATTATATTGTAGAGAAGATCACGATGTTTTAGAAAAGGTAAGTTAAATTATAAAATGGGCCAAGATTCGATTTCCATAATAAAAAAGATTTAGTATTATGCCTTATTTATTTTTGCTGCCTATGTAAATGATTACCGTTAATTATTATATACTGCTTGTTATCAAAGTCCTTGCTATATTTGTTTTTCTCTTCTTATGTAAAGTATAATACACTCTATGCCAAAATAACTAAATATAAACTCCATAAAAGTAATACATGCTTTCCAGAAAATAAAAAAATTAATCTTTGATTCGAAAATTACAGTCACTTTAGCGACTTAACTATCGCACCTTAACTTGTTGTTAAGCGTGCTATATATTAAGTTTATTTATATATATAATTATTAACAACAGAGCGCGAATACAAGCGGCAGTAGCGCCGGCAACGCCGAAAGCAACAACAACACAACACTCAGCAACAACAATTCACATCACCCGCACGAGTTAGGATCTATGTCGGGTGAGTAAACAAACATACAATGAAATAACAACAAAATATTATAATATTATTATTATTAAAAAATATTAGTTTATAATATTAAAGTACCAGTTATATCAATCGATTTAATAATGAAGAAAATATTTTTGTTTTAAATTTAATCCTATAAATATTGATTAGTGTTAACAGTTTTTCATTTATAAACAAAGTATTAACTAATGAAATGCTATGTTTGTTCTTCTTCTTCTATGTTTGTTACGGGATGCGAAAGATTTTTTCATTGGAACCAAACGTATATATATAAAAATAATTTAATTTTACTATATGTCAATTTATATTTTATCAAACATTTGTCATGTTTGGAATCCAATGAGATTTAAATTTACGAATCTTTTCTGTAAAAGAGTAATCATTTTTACTTACTTCGACGCAATAATCTTTTGACTTGAACCAATTTTTAGATATCCTTGTGATTTTCAATAAAATCGGTAACAGAAAATCTTATTTCAAGCATTGTGTATTTACTAAATATAATATATATTAAGTAGTTAGTTAATATTTATATATAATGAATAAAAAAACGGGTTAATTAAATAGTATATAATTAATAAAACAAGTAAACAATGTTTTTACAATATTATTAGGTACTATAACTTTATAACAACTATGATCACGGGCAGACGAGATGTGAATGTCAGTTAGTCTTGTTATTTGTCATCTACCGCATAAAATTTTTTAATTTTCTCTTTAAAATGCTCACTATATTTAACTCTACATAGGTATCGTTTCACGTTTCTCACTCAATAACCCACGTTAACACTGTAATGTATGAAGATTTAAGAATTGTATGTAGTGACCATGAAAACTTATAATAAGCATAATATTACTTGAAAACAATAGGAAATAAAGAAATGATTGTCAAATAAAAAGACATATCTAAACACTTTCATCTCGTCTTCCAATAAGCATAGTTGATTTAAATTAATCCAAATTTCTTCAGTACTAAGTAATAATTCATAGTTTTAATATAATGCTATGTATATATTTATTATTTCTATATACATATATATAAGTGACCGCTCCCCTAAATCCTTATCAGTGACACTTCAAGTCGCTATCACTACACGCGTAATGACTATCATTATCACAATCAAAAGATTTTATCGCACTGATTGGAAACTGATTTATGTAGCGACGGCAAAAGAAATATAATATATATTCTTAGAAAACAATATCGGAATTGACATTACAATTTAACTATTATATTTACATTAAATTAAAAATAATTTTAAATTAATATTACAAATATCTCGATTTAAATTTATCGTGAATGAAATTTAAATATAACATTAAAGAAAGATTTACACACTTCGTAAGACTATGAGAGAAAATATTATTAAATACATATATAAAAATAATATAATTATATAGAATTTAATCCGTATGTGTTAAGTTTTAAAGAATTATTCTCTTTGCACCTATGAGAAAATAAAATAACTCACATAACAAAGCATCCTATATCTTTCTCTAACGTCCTGTCTATCTAAATAACTAAATTCATTAAAATCGATCCAGCGCGCTGGATTAACTTCAGCGGTTCAGTAATTAAGAGGCAACATACATACAGACGGAATTATTTCATCAATACATTAGGATTTACAAAATTCTGTACATATATAGAATTTTCTTAGCAAAATCAAAGGATTATTGCGTATTTTTATTATTCTGTATTATATAAATTTATCGTCTAATTTCATTTTATAATGACGTATTTATGTAAAACAATTATTATAAAAATCTCTCCGGATTACTAGATCCAAATATATATATATATATATATATATATATATATATATATATATATATATATATCTACTTTACCTATAAATCAATTAAGTTAGTAATTAAAGCAAATTGAAAACAAACAGGTTGACTTTACAATTAAGATTAGAGTACTATTCCATAATCTTTAATCATTAATCCGATTTAAAATACTTGAAATATATAAAGCAAATTACGATTTAAAGAAAAATAATTACTACAAAAAAAAAACAGATTATATATAATTTTTTATCTGTATTATATAATCCTTTTTTATTTTTAATCTATATAATACAAAACCTGTACCAATGATAGTAATTATATGCAATTAATTATAGAATCGTAACTTGTTTTGCCGGTCGTACGTTATCTTTTTGATATGTGCCGACAAAGCCGCCGCCGTTTAATACGAAGGCTGAAAAACTCTGACTTTTATCTAAGAATTACTCGATGTGACCTAAATATGACCTTGAATGTAATAAAATATATATTCACATGGAATAATATTTAATACTAGAAGACCCGGGGAACTTCGTATCGCCCTATAATCAAGAAATATCTGTTACGTTTTTTTATTTACATTTTTGGAGTTTACCTGTAAGCCATAAATCTCCGTGTTTTGAACTGCGACAGAATGATTGACATATTAGTTGTCAAATCTAATGTCAAAAAAACGTTTGTATGGAAAATAGAAAAGGGCTGTTTTTAGGGTTTTCCCGGCAATTATTCCAATTTCTCTCACCTTTTAAACCTTCCCTGGACTTCCAGGAGTATTTTAAGACTAAAATTAGCCAAATCGGTTCAGCCGTTCTCAAGTTTTAGCGAGACTAAGGAACAGTAATCCATTTTTATATATATAGAAGATGACATTTAGTTTGACAGTTTCGTAAAGCGCGAAAAAGTTGATAGTTGATAGTCATCAAATTTTATATGAAAGGTCGAAATTAAAAATAAAGCAAATTAAGCTAATAAGAAAGCTTTATGAATATTTGATGTTTTAGCTGTCCGAGGGTCAGACTGGTGTGAAGTGAGGATTACACGCTAATGTAATGGCCCCTTTGACTGACCGATTGGGTTGCCATGTTAAATATTTATTCAACTCCCTTATTCGTTGGTAATCCCGGCTATATGTAGCATTATCTAAGTCCATTATAATTAATTAAAAATGTAAAAATATTATACCTTTACGATAAAGACATGTTCGATATAATATTATCTATAAAACAAGATTCATTCATTAATTACTGAGAATTTTTTTAACAAGTCAATCAATCAATATATCAAATTTATCGTAACCAATATGTCTGTATTTTAAGAAATTACTAATTTTTATCTTATATTTCTTTTTTATCAATTTAAATCAATTATTATACTCAATATCCCGGAAATTATATCAAGATATTTCTTAATACGTAAATTTTTAACTATTTAATTCATGTAACTATACAAATAGTAAATACAAGTTTCATTTCGTTGAACGAACTACTATGAACTGTAGAATACATTATAACCCACATTAAACTATATTCAAAGTTCAGTATATATTAAAGATCAAGAAAAATCCTCATGTTTTTATATATATTTTTATTATTTACGATATAATGATATATGTACTATGTTTGTTTAGATTCAGGCAGTGAATCTGGTTCACATAAGAGTGGAAGAGCAAGGGCTGGCGCTGCAGCTGATGGGAAACCAACAAGAGTGAGGACTGTACTCAATGAGAAACAATTACATACACTAAGGTATAGTTATATTATAGAACTATTATTAGGTCAGTGGTGGCGCAGTGGTTAAAGGGCCCGCCTCTTAAACACGAGGGCGCGGGTTCGATCCTGATCTAGCAAGTACCAATGTGATTTTTAAGGCATATGTACTTTCTAAGAGTATTTAGACATCACTGATTAATGCATTCCCAAAAGAGGGTTGATGTCAGGCAGGCGGCTGGTCGTAAAAACAATTAGACAAAACTATTCACAACATGTAAGGCAGAACCTGGCTATAGCTGGGAAATTACCAGGTAGAAGAGAAGAAGAGGTATAGTTACATATAACATAATGTGTCGAGTATAATGTGGCTAGATCACTTTATTACATATATTGGATTCCTTCATTAGTCTTGCTACTTAAAACAGTACATTTATATTCTAGCTTTTAGTTATATCGCGTTTCCAAGAGAACCTTTCAAAAGTCTGGGATAAAAACTATCCTATGTTCTTTTTCAATGTTAACTCTATCTCTGTACCGAATTTCATTAAAATCAGTTCGGTGGTTTAGGCGAGAAATCGTAACAGACAGACAGAGTTAATTTCGCATTTATAATATTAGTAGGGATATTAACCATTTAAAATAGCTTTATTGGGTACAGAAGGCGTGTATGTTAGAATAATAGAATGTATTGAATTACGTTCGTACTGATAGTTTGAAAGTTAGTGTAAACTAGTATTTCAAAGTATTCTTTCTAAGCTTAAATGCAGTTCTTGAGGGTAGTTTGCTTTATATGATTTTTAAGTTTAAAATTTTTGCAAAATTTTTAAGTATTTTTTTTAATACAAATAATTGTTTTTTGATACATTTGTTATTAATCAATTCATTATATGAGTATACTTAAATATAATAATAATGTTGAACCGCAGAAATCTCTTTGCTTTTAACGACCCGAGGTTCCTAAATAAGTAAAAAATTTCATATAAAATTTTATAAACTGTATAAATTCAGAAGTTTATGACTAATAAAATTTAGGTTACCCATTTTACGATTACGATCCTTAGTACGATTTCGCAGTAACAGAGTTTTTTTGTGTTCAAAACTGAAAACGCATCGTGTGTAGTAACGAACATGTAGTAAAGGGTAACATACAAATTTGCGTCACCAAACTAGACTGATGATTTGTCGTTTTTAATCATTATAGCCACTTTTTACTATAAATGTATACGAAAATATAAGTGTACAAACTTGAAACTTTACGTCACTTAGTTCAACGATGCGACTCATAGTAAGAATAAAGGATCGATGAAAACTATTTAAATTAGATATTTTAATAATATAACATTAATTAAAGAGTAATTTATTTTATATAGTAACGAAATTATTTTATTCGTATTTCTATACTAGCTGCTATGATGACTTCGTCCACTATATTAATAAAATAAATAAAATCCAAAATATGTATAAACTAATTCAACGTTGAAAACATCAGCTATCCATCAGTTAAAGTCCAATCAAAATATATCCAGCCGTTTCCGAGATGAAGTGGAACATACAGACATTATAAGAATCATAATCATCAGCCTATCAGAGCCCACTGCTGTAAGACCTCTTCTCACATGGAGAAGGTTTGAGCATTAATCATCACGCTCGCTCAAGACGGATTGACGATTTCAAACTTAGTATTCGAAATTATAAGTCCAGGTTTAATCACGATGTTTTCCTTCATCAGTCAGTGGTGTCTAAATACTCTTAGAAAGTACATATGATTTAAAAATCACATTGGTACTTACCAGGTTTCAAACCTGCGCCCTCATACATGATTATAATATATCATAATTAGAATATAACCAAATTGTATGAATTTTTCAGGACCTGTTACGCAGCGAATCCCAGGCCAGATGCGCTAATGAAGGAACAGCTAGTTGAAATGACAGGCCTCAGTCCTCGCGTTATACGAGTGTGGTTTCAGAACAAACGATGCAAAGACAAGAAGAAGACTATTCAATTGAAAATGCAAATGCAGCAAGAGAAGGTGGATAATATTTTGGTTCGAATTTTCATATACTATATACAATACAGTCAATTAGATAATATGTAATACTAGCTTTCGCTTCGCCCGCGTGGAGTTCGGTTATATCGCGTTTCCAAGAGAACTTTTCAAAAGTCCGGGATAAAAACTATCCTATGTTCTTTCTCAAGGTCAACTCTATGTCTGTACCAAATTTTATTAAAATCAGTTCAATGGTTTAGGCGTGAAAGCGTAACAAACAGACAGAGTTACTTTCGCATTTATAATATTAGTAGGGATATTATTTACTATGATATATAATTAATTAATTAGTATGAATATTCGTGACATTTAATTATAACTAAACCCACATAATTTTTCAATATATATGACTAACATACTTTCTAGAAGTTTGCATAGAAAACTTAATAAAATTTATTAAACTTCTTTAATGATAGTATTAACGAATGCTAATAAACTTGTCCATACCTATTTATTGTGACAATGCTAAGATATAATAACGTCACTACATTTATTATACTTACTATTACTTTTCAAAGAAAACTAAATACTCAAATTTTACTGTTGACCATTCATAAAACTTCTTACATGATAGTATTAACTATACGATTAGTTTATACGTATTTAGTTTGATTATGTTTACTTATAGTCATATATATATACAAATTAACACAACTGTCTTGAACTTAAAAAGATTACTATAGAATCTAGACGCTTTAATTCAATTGTCAGTAAAGAATATCATATTAATTTCATTGTAAAAGATTGTATGAGTGATATAAGCAAAATAAACGAGTAATAAAGTAAAAATTAACGAAAATCTTGAAGAAATTAATGATATATATGTATATATAGTACAAGTATATTTATTTATATGCAGGAAGGCCGTCGTTTAGGCTATATGTCTATGGGAGTACCACTAGTTGCCGGTTCTCCTGTAAGACATGAAGCGGGTTCCCTCGCTTTGGAGGTGACAGCCTATCAGCCGCCGTGGAAGGCCCTAAGCGACTTCGCCCTACACGCGGATCTTGATAGACCCCAACATAGTGCCGCCTTCCAGCAACTTGTGAACCAGGTCTGATATAGTGCCGCCTCCCGCTGTACTAAGGTAGTGCGGACTTATACCGTACACGTTACGGAATTTATATACCCACGTATACGGTATAAACCTTGCAATTAAAAAGATGGTATAATGTGAATTGTTTGAAAAAAGTTGAAAGATGTTAAATCTTTTTGAATATGGAACGGGTTGTTTGAATTTTACACACTTCATCAATTCAAGACTTGAACACAACTATTGATAAATCTTCCACATGTAAAAAGTGTATTTAAATTCATATTTTACATGCAAACATGAGGCGTATTTCAAGCTACTTACATATAAATAATTTTCAACCAAAGTGTGTAAAATCTTTAGATAATTTAATTTGTTATTATTATTCAATACTATACGAAACACCTGTTTTAAAATTGCAAAACTGGTTTTGTCCAATAATAAAAAGAAATGTCACCTGAATAAAAAATGTTGTAAAAATTTTGAATATAGAACCATCTATATATCTATAATCTACATCGTGTCATTGCTTCAAAGAGTTTCGAACAATTCTAACAGATGGCGCTCACAATAAACTTCAAGACAATAATATGGGTCTTATTAAATATAAATTTTCTATTTAAAACATTCCCATTTCCTTCGTTATTTACAAAAAAAAGTTAAGTGCTTGAGAGTTTTTCTGTCTGTTTTAGTAATTACAAATTTGACATTATCAAAAGCGTCTGCTTTAGACGTTAGAAAGACGTTAAAATAAAATAATGTAGTAATGTTTAAATCAATAAAAAAGTTTATTTTAAATGATTTCTTCAAACATCTTACTAGCTGTAATTTAATATAATTATTGAACTCTCATGTAAAATTGATATTCAAACTATTTTATTATTGGAAATGGAATACTACTTATAGTGCTGATTTCAAACATATTAAGACTCAAAAGCTATATAATATGTATATTGTTTTAGATTGTTTCATATCTATATATGTAATATAATACATATAATTAGTTATTTTAACTTAATATATTTGTTTTACAGATGCACGGTTACGACATCCCTTCCCTGCCGCCCCCTCGCCACGAAGATAACTACGTCACATATCTAGAGAGTGATGACAGTCTGCCTCCGTCACCCTAGTGCCGTCTCACCTAACGCCCTATAACAGACAGAGACAGATGCTTGTATCGCTAAGATGATCTATATGGCAGGGTTAGATACTTGTAATACAAAAGTTGCCCTATTAATGCAGGGGTAGATACTTGTAGTACAAGTGATGCCCTATTTAGGCCAGGGGTAGATGTTTTAGGGCTTTTATATTAATGGAGTGATACATATATACGTACAATATGTATGTATGGACTTGTTTTCAAATCTGTTGATAAGTGATAAAGATATAATAATTGCATTGGACTACCTATAACTTTTGACGTTTTTGAAGTTGTGAGTGAGAAAGAATATAATGGTTTCTCTGTCTTTTTATAATAAAAATGTTCCTTTATTTTAATAAAAATCCTTATATGTTAATAATGTCGTTTTAATATTATTTTTTTTCTACTATTTTGTGAAATTAAAAAGACAGAGAATACAAAACTAATGTCAGTGATGTATGAAAATGAAAATATCAATACGAGTAGCATAGCCTGTTTTAAATAATAACGCCTTATATGTATTTCTAATCGAGTATTATAGTGTGTTAAGTGAATTTGTTTATTGATAAGCAAAAATTATGATTATTAAAAAAAAACAACAAAAATTTTTGCTCATCAAAAACTGAGTACCTAGTTCAAAATAATCGTGGGACAGTGCAAAATATACGTTAAGATAACCTCCATCTTTTATTTTGATATAAAAACTCTTTTTAATTTTCTACAAAAAAGGTTTCAACAAAAAAAAGTTTCTATTCTCAACTAATACTGTGAAAGCTAGTGTTTTTACCACGTATTTATTTGCTTTATACCGATGTTTACCATTAGATGTATGACTTAATGTATTTACTTTTAACTATTATTTATATTGAATATGTCATTGTACTGTAAAGATCTGTTAGACATTACTGTATATAGATGTCAGTGTACATAAATTGTATAAATTTAGATATACGAAATACATTTACCAACTATTTTATATAGATTAAGCCCCTTAATATTTCTAAACTGCACAAATGAATTTTCTAATATAATAAAATACAATTCATGTCACTTAAGATAAATGTTTTTTGTACTAATAATGTTTTCACGTTTGAAAATGTTTGCATATATTTTTGTTTTCACCTTTCTGTAACACAACAGTTGTTATATTAAATTTCGCTATAGATTACCGGATGTTTAATTTATTTTGTTGTATGTAGTTTAATCTAAGTATTTAGATTGTGCGCATAATAATAAAAACATTGAGTACTTAAATTTGTTTTTTATTGCACCGGTTTGTATGCGGATGTTTACACTAAAATGATCTATAACTGATAAAACGTTACATTTTTCAAAGTCATAAATGCATATATGTAAATTTTATAAAATAATGATTTCAATAGTCTGTTACTCTTGCCACAGATAAAAAATATAGAAAAATAATTTCTCTAGTCAAAATATTAACAAAAAGAAAACAGCGAGTATGAGGTTTCTTTAAAAATATATAAATTAAAAGATTTGAGAACGAAAATGATTTGAAATATCGATTTCATAACATTTCTTTAACCGTATACCTTGCATAAATCTTAGTACCTATTTTACTAAATAAAAGGTGAGTTTATTTATTGCCAATAATCCAAACTGCTATTGTATAATAGTTTTTTTAACTACGTAAATAACTATTAAAATTTTTGAAAATAACATTTCAGTCAAATGACAGATTAGTTTGACATTTGACATAAACATTTTGACAATTTTCAAGCAAAATGACAAGTGTCAACCACTACTGTTATGAGTAGATATTAAAATGTTTTGTAGTTTGTTTGCACTTGCAGTGCGAGTGTATCGTTTGTTTAAACAAAACGTTGGTTAATGTTATGAAATTCTTGTAAACAACAGGAAAAATGACTTCGGTATGTGTTAATATTTCGTAACTGTGATTTAATTTATGCTTTTTTCAGTATTTACATTAATATTCGACTTAATCGTATTGACTTACTGAATTAAACATAATGAAACCGATTTTATTTATAGACATAAAATTTGTAAACTTTTCTTTAAGCCGGTTTTAATTTCCCTGGAATTAACGACATAAATTAAATAAAAAATATAGAAAATTTTAATTCTTTAAAGTAGGTAGTATCGGTTACTTTTATTCGTTTTTGTTTCAGAGATTTAAAATCGAATGTGACCTTCCGAGTATCAGGGACGATCATGAGGAAAAGCCATCACATTCAGTTAATATGTTTTATCATTTGTTAACAATCTAACATACAATAAATGTATATAAAACATTGATATCTGATCTCATACACTATATATATTTTATTTATATAATTATTGAATTCAGTTGTTAAAACATTTTTTGTTATGTAAGAAAATTTTTCAAAGCTACATTCATCATTAAAGGGGTACCTATATGTATTGATTTTCATTACAAGATATCAGAGAATTAATTCATTTTGTTTTCTTATTAAAAATGTATATTTAAATAAAAAATCTTCCTTCATGGTTAACTACTTGAAAAAAAACTTCAACAGAATAATCCTATAACTATTAAATACTTAATGTGGGATATTCTCTTTTGATTATTTATATAATGTCCATATAGTAGAAATTAGCTTAAATATTTTTTTAATACTTTAAATAACTAATTATATTTCCACACAGGTACCAAGCTTTTGTATATTATTTCTACTTGGTTTCTATATGTTGCTGGGTTTTATAACATCGGTCATACAAAATGATATGCCTTCGGTGATAAATGAAAAGGATGTTCAAAAAGATGTAAGTAGAATACACACACACACACACTTTCTCACACACACACCTAAATATATATAGAGTTTTGTTAATTAAATTCAATAGATCACTAAAATTATCATTGATGTAATACAAGTTAATACTAAGATATGATAAATATTGACATGTAAAATGTGGATTAACATGTATCGATACAACTGATTACAATACTATATCCGACTTAGTGAGATTAGAATAGCTAACTATTTTAATGATATCTGAAAAAAATAAATACTATTTTGTATAGAATAGATTATATGAAAAATTCTGTTCTACTTGCATTAATGCATGAAATATTAGCTGACCCGGCAAACATTGTTTTGTTATATAAAAAAATAGGGGTAGGTCATAAAAAAGCGGGTTGTATGTATTTTTTAATGTTACATTGTAAAAAAATAAAAACAAAAAATTCCCTCCGAAAAAAAAATTAAGGGTGAACAACCTTTATGGCTTATAGGTATGAAAAAAAGATGTTGGCCGATTCTCAGACTTACTTAATATGCTCACAAAATTTCATCAAAATCGGTCCAGTCGTTAAAGAAGAGTTCTCTAACACCGCGACACGAGAATCCCTACTAATATTATAAATGCGAAAGTAACTATGTCTGTCTGTCTGTCTGTTACGCTTTCACGCCTAAACCACTGAACTGATTTTAATGAAATTTGGTACAGAGATAGAGTTGACCTTGAGAAAGAACATAGGATAGTTTTTATGCCAGACATTTGAAAGGTTCTCTTGGAAAAGCGATGTAATCGAACTCCACGCGGGCGAAGCTGCGGGCGGAAACCTAGTTTTATATATAAGAGATATATATTGATTGTATGTATATATGATGTTTTTTGTTTAAGGATTGGAGGACATTCAGCGAAGACTCAGCAATGAAATATCTTTACAGAATACTAGGAGATCAAGCTCGAGTATCTGGTTCTGTTTATCATTTCGTCAAAACAAGAGATTTAAAATGGCTCCTAGAAGAAGTTACTGCCAATTCAAATTTACCCGTACATATTGATTGGCAATATGTATCAGGTATTTTATTGATTTGTAATTAATTTGGGTTCTATTTAAGGATAGAGCTTACGGTTCCTTGGGAAACCTATAGCCCCAAAGACAATGCCATCAAGGTCAATAAATATTACGAGCTCATAAACGAACTAACTTGAAATAGCTTTGTAGTGGATTTGTACGTGATAGAAGTGGGAGTGAGAGGTATAACAGCTAAATCTCTATAACCTACAAAAAGACTTGGGCCTGTCCAGAACTAATATTAATATATTCTTAGAACGTACTTCAAAGGCAGTCCTAGTAGTTTAGTTTCAAATTTGCTAGATAGGGGAGCTTGTACAGTGGAGGTGAGCGTTTAACACGTTAGGGTACCTTAAACCTACACCTGGGTCGCAAGTCCCAGGCACTGTTCATGCTCCTCTCACTACAACGATGGACCCGACACACGCATCGTGAATACATTTAATGATGAGAAGTTTCATCTCTTAGCATTCTATTAACACTAATTGTATGTTTAATCATCAGATTATATCTCATAAACCAGAAAAATATTGAAATTTATTGAAAAATAAGCCCTGTAATGAAAATTATTTTTCATATTTTAATATTAATAATGTGTTTGGCTTGAAAGTGAAAATAAAAATGATAATAGATAAATAGATTATTTTCTAAGATAATTATTTTCAGTAATATCTCATAGTTAAATGGATAGTATTTTTGTTTGTATATTTTACAAGAATTTCATAAAATATATTGTATTTTTATAAATAAAAAATGATTTTTAAAAAATATTAAATGCACTTACAATTATTTATAGCATCAAATAAACCATTTATCTTCATAATTTTAAATTCTTCCAAACTTTATAATTTATATTCCGTATCAAAATACATTTTTTTTTTCATATATTATGATTATGAGTCACTGATGCATATTTTAATTAAATTATACATTATTATGTTAATTTAATTTAAATTTCCAGGTAATTACTGGTTGGAATTCGACCCGCCGTATGTCAATTCATACAACAACGTGTCAAACATTATCGCTATATTGGAAGGGGAAAGCGGGGTCAAAGAAGATAGTATTGGAACATCTCTATTAGTGAACTGTCACTACGATTCTGTACCTTTTGCTATAGGTGATTAAGATCAAATTTAAATATTTAAAACATTTTAGCATTTTTAATGGGACACTTTGTAGGGTTTTTTGTTATTGAATTTTGATGATTACATTGTCCATATATGAGAATAAGATATATATGTAGAAACTCGATTAACCGGACTAATTGTTGTCGATAGGCATTCGGATAATCGAAAATCCGGATAAACGAATGTATGAAGAAAAGCCGGTTTTGTGCATATGTAGTACATAATATTATATGTTTATTTTAAAAAAGTAACAAATACATATCAACGAAAATCAATGTTTATTAATAAATAATTAAAGGATACATTTTCTTAGATTACATATACAGTAGATTAACTCGATTATCCGGCCCTCAGTTATATTTATTTTATAAATAATTTATTTCTAACAAAAATTCAATATACAAAGAAAAACCCTATAAAGTACCAGCCACATACTAATATAATATTTTATTTTAATCTTTATTTCAACATACTTAAGATATATTTTTGCTTGAAGGTGCATCTGATAATGGAATCTTCTGTGCCGCTATGGTCGAGATCTTGGTTAAACTATCAAGAAGAAAAGAGAAATTCAAACAGAACATAATCTTTTTATTCAATGGAGCAGAAGAAAATGTATTGATGGTGGGTAGTTTGATATAAATAGCAAAAAGGTTTAAACAAAAGAAGTTCCTATAAGCTTGTATTTTATTTTCAATTAAATTATTAGTAAAATAACACATATAATCATATTTTCCTGAATTATTTTCATATATATTTTATACTTTATCCTATATAACAAGTTGTTTCATTTTTTGTTTTTATTTATTATCTGTGTTATTATTTATAATCTGTGTAAATTATCTTTATATTTCAGGGTAGTCATGGCTTTCTAAAACATCCCTGGTCTAAAAATATAAGTTCTGTTATTAATTTAGATTCTGCCGGTATGAATGGTAGACCAAGTGTTTTTCAGGTAATTAATTATAATATTAATTATCAAACTACATAATATAGATTTATTCTATTCATATAATATTGTACTCTATTGGTTATATAAAAGACAACTGAAAATAAACTTGATTTATAACTATGTGAGATTAACAAAGATGTTAAAATTTAAATTTTAATACTTTACTAATATTCTTAATGGTTTAAATTATGTTAAGGCTTTATACTATAATATTATTAATTATCTTGAACACATCAAAATAATAAATAGAATAACGATACATTTAAACAAAATATTTAAAAAACAAGTAATTTCTCAACAATATTTAGTTTAATATTAATTTCTTATTAATAACCCCTATTTTTTCAAACCCTTAGGTAACAAACCCCCAAATTCTGCCTCACTATAGTAAAACCCCAAGGCCGACAGCACAAGCCGTGGGTCAATTCTTGTTTCAAAGCGGTATAATACCTTCTGATACAGATTTTAGGATATGGAGGGATTTTGGAAATATTACTGGTAATAATACATTAAAACAATTAATATATATACAGGGTGACTGGTGAATTACTATCGATACTTGAGGACGTGATATTTGACGATCATATATGACAAAATAAAAATTAATATAACATAACTATTAATAAACTTCTAAGTAAAGTTAACCAAAAGTTATGTAATTAATTACGCATCGTGTGAACACCCTACAGATTAGGTATACACACACACACACACACACACACGCGTGCGGCTTCGTGGTGTTGTATCAGCACACTGCCGCACGCGTCCACACTTGGAACACTTGGAACGTATCCACACTTTATTTATTTATACGGAAATTTGGTCAAAAATTAAGTACCTATTTTTTTTACATAATTCGAATGAGAATCATGTACCGAGTATTCTCCTTAAATATTGATAGTAATTCACCAATCACCCTGTATAATATTTCCATACTTGTTATGATATTAAAGCATTTTAAAAATAATTGTTGTCAAATAAAATTAATCATGAAATTAAACTGTATTGATTGAATGCTATTTACATTTTTTATCTTTTTTCGTTGTCTGTGCATTTTAACAAAACTATTATAAACTCACAATTGTCATCATACCAAATTTAAGTATGATGGATTTAAATTTGAACTCCATATTTATAATCCACTTTCATATAACGAGCATCCACATATATAAAGTTTCAATAATATAATACAACATATATAATACTAGCTCCGTCCTGTATACAAAATTTCATCAAAATCGGTTCAGCCGTTTGAGCGTGAAGAAGTAACAAACATCCACACACACTCACAAACTTTCGCAATTATAATATTAGTAGGATATATAATGTATGTATATTCATTCCAGGTTTAGACATAGCATTCACAGAGAGCGGTCACGTGTATCACACTAGATATGACAAGCCTCAAATGATACAGACGGGTGTCATACAACACGCGGGGGACATGCTGATTACATTAATAGCGGGAGTAGCCGAGCGGAGACAGGGGGACGAACAGGTATACACACACACACACATAGACATATACATATAAACACAAACACACACATGCACAATACAAAACATTCTAGTTTACTTTTTTATTCAGTGGTATGGACACAGATGTATACACATAATATATATACATACTTTACACACACACCTTAATTTATTCCTAATTAATATATTAGTCATTAATCATTATGTCTTCCTTCTTCTACCTGGCAATTTCCCAGCTTTACCCAGGGTCTGCCTTACATGTTGTGAATAGTTTTGGCTGTTTGTTTTTACGACCGGCCGCCTGCCTGACATCAACCCTCTTTGGGAATGCATTAATCAGTGATGTCTAAATACTCTTAGAAAGTACATATGACTCGGAAAAATCATATTCGTACTTGCCAGGATCGAACCCGCGCCCTCGTGCATGAGAGGCGGGCCTTTTAACCACTAGGCCACCACTGACTTACATTATATATATTTTATACACATATAATTAATTTAATATAATTATTATTACAGGATAACTCGTCACCAGTGTATTATGATTATTTGAGTTTATTTTTAATATCGTACAGTGAGAGGCAGTCTCAAATCATAGATGGCGTTGTCGCTGTTTTAGGACTAATGAGTGTTGTATACTATATGTGGCTGTTTGGATTGAGTGAGTATACATATATATGAAAACTTATTATAAACATATATATATTGTTAAATGATAATAATCAATAATTAAACTAGCAACCCTCAAGGCACATATATAAAGAGCGCCATTACTGATAATAATTATCCGATTATAATCGGACACGTTTTGTTATCAACTATTGTCAAGATAAGCTCTGCCCTATATTTAGTCTTGAATATTAATAAATCGACCATTGGCTGGGCAAGGATTTTTTAAAAATCATAACGTATTTTCTTTCCCGTATCATAACGTATTTTCTTTCCCTACTAATACATATTATAAATGCGAAAGTAACTCTGTCTGTTTGTCTGTCTGTTACGCTTTCACACCTAAACCACTGAACTGATTTTAATGAAATTCGGTACAGACATAGAGTTGACCTTGAAAAAGAACATAGGATAGTTTTTATCTCAGACTTTTGAAAGGTTCTCTTGGAAACGCGATATAACCGAACTCCACGCGGGCAGAAAGCTAGTACATAGATAGAAATCTATACATTATATGTCTCTGTACCTATTTTGATGTTGTTCATGTTACAGGATGGTCGGTGTTGAGAGATCTATTGTGTTCTTTAGCCGGTAGACTCGTGTGTATTGTAGCCGGTGTATTAACAGTTGCATTATTAACACTGGCAACAATATTACTCGATATGGGTGTTGCCAGATATATGCAATTGAGGTGATGTATAATTATTTTATATTGTAATTTCAATAATTAAAAACAATATTATGAATTTTAAGCATTTTAATTATTAAATTTTAAATGTTAATTATTTATCTCACCAAAAACATGCCTGTTAAAAAGGGGGCCAAGTTCCAATCGGCTAATTGTTTGCCTAAAAAAGGGGTGAAATCCAATCTAATGCCAAGTTTAGATGCACTTTGAAATCGATCATAATCATCTTCATCAACAGCATGATCCACTGGTAAACATTTGCCATTCCCAAGACTCGCCACCACACCCAGTCCTCTGCCTTCCACATCCAGCCACTACCCGCCACCTTATTCACGTCAACGGTCCATCTGGCCGAAATTCACTTTACCATACACCCAACTAAAAATATGGTATAGTTGTGAAAATACGTAGGTGCTTGGTTAAAAATATCTAAAATTATAATACTTCTAAATTTGAACTTGGCAGGTTAATTTAATTATTTAAATTATATAATATTTAAATTATATAAATATAAATAATTACATATATAACTAAATAATAAATTAATGATACAATTAATTAAGTGTTACATACAGCACAAAAACCTGCCAAGTTCAAATTTAGAAGTATTATAATTTTAGATATTTTTAACCAAGCACCTACGTATTTTCACAACTATACCATATTTTTAGTTGGGTGTATGGTAAAGTGAATTTCGGCCAGATGGACCGTTGACGTGAATAAGGTGGCGGGTAGTGGCTGGATGTGGAAGGCAGAGGACTGGGTGTGGTGGCGAGTCTTGGGAATGGCAAATGTTTACCAGTGGATCATGCTGTTGATGAAGATGATTATGATCGATTTCAAAGTGCATCTAAACTTGGCATTAGATTGGATTTCACCCCTTTTTTAGGCAAACAATTAGCCGATTGGAACTTGGCCCCCTTTTTAACAGGCATGTTTTTGGTGAGATTTCAATACTTTTTTTCAAGAAATCGTACATACAATCGTACATACAATCGTACTATACAGCCGTACAATGCATAACTTACAGCATGAAACATACAGTTACCATCTGATGGCATAGGAATTACCCTATGTGGTATATCTCCGCCAACCACCGAAAGATGTACAATTTCCATCATTGGTAAATGAATAGTAGAAAAGAAATAAAGTGAATTTGTGCTTTTAACACACACAAGTAATCAATCAATAAGCAATATCAAAATTAATCCTTTAGCAAGTCAAATCAGTGATCCATTTAATCGTAATCGTAACCATATATAAGATATCGAGACATAAGTGTAGAAAGAAATAGAAAGAAATGACCATCGATTCCTTATCGACTTTCATTCATATATACTGCAGACAAAACAATATCGCGATTCAATAATACCGCTAGCGCCATCTATCGAAAGTATAGGTATACTATCTATTAGGTGGTAGAGCCTAGCTGTGGTTAGTTACTACAGCTCGAACACGGGCTGGCTCGACCGGGGAAGTACCACCCTCTCACAGAAGATCGGCGTGAAGTAGCCTTTAATGGCTGCGTTTCGTCCGATGAGTGAGAGAGCCGGTTGCCCTTTCCCTATTCCCACCCTTTCCTACAATATCCTTATTCCCACCCCTCCCTATCCCTATAAAACAAGGTTGGCAACGCATCCGCAACATATTTGTTGCGGATGTCAATGGGCGACGGTAACCACCTTCCATCAAGTGGGCCGTCTGCTCGTTTGCCACCTTTGACATAAACAGTAATTTATAACAATAGAAACCTGATTTTTTAGGTAAGCAATATTTAATTAGGTTATACAGTGTGCATTATGTATACATGACAATATTTTATATCCCTTATATATATATATATATCAGTTCTTAAGAAGCGCCCCACACTTTTTTCACAATAGTATTAATTTAAAAATAAATTAACAAACAATAAATGGTATTTTTGTGAAAAAAAGCGTGATGAGCTTCGTATATCACTTCTTGAGAAGCGTCCCACGCTTTTTTTTCAATAATTCCATTTATTGTTTATTTTAAACAATTTAAATTAAATTGATTTCCAAGGTTGTAAAGGTTAAATTAGTTTCCACGCGGTTTCTTTCATCATTGGAGCGTGTTTTTTAGTTTTTTTTTTTAACTATATTTATTTTTTATTTTTTAGTTTCATTTATCACCGATTGATAGATGTACTCATATTATTAATTATTAATATTTCATTATTATGTATTTTATTGTGCTGAGCTGAGCGCCTATATAAAGGTTTTGATTACCTGTCAGTGAGTCAGTGCCAAAATTAGCTATTTTCACAGGGTCATATTTCAGGATCTACTGAAGCTTTATCTATGAAATTTGGCATACTGCTTTAGGACTAGTATATGATTACGTAGGTATAATTTTATCTCTGTACTTGCAATAGACACTGAGCTACAGGGGGTCAAAAGTGGGTCGAATTTATTAAAAATTCGATATTTAGAATTGAGGCAACTCACGCTTGACCGATTTCTTAAATTTCTTAATTTTTTGTTAATCTACATATAACACACAACCTGTGTACCAAATTTCAAAATGCTAAAACAATGGGAAGTGGCCTAGAGGTTTTGATTACCTGTCAGTGAGTCAGTGCCAAAATTAGCTATTTTCACAGGGTCATATTTCAGAATCTACTGAAGCTTTATCTATGAAATTTGGCATACTGCTTTAGTACTAGTATATGATTACGTAGGTAAAATTTTATCTCTGTACTTGCAATAGGCACTGAGCTACAGGGGGGTCAAAAGTGGGTCGAAACGGTTCGTGTAAATATAGTGCACGGCATGCGCCGGCCTGTGGAACTTGGCCGGCGCACTCCCTTGCGCTTAGATGAATTTATGAAAACAGAAAGGGTTGGAAATTGATTTTAAGGAACTTTCAGTGTTTCTTTAAGAAAAACTTTATTAACATTACTTACAAATCACTATTCTCTTTTTATCCCCCCTCCAGGAGCGTTAAATATTTAACGCAACCTTGTTGGAAGTTGCATAAGAAGTTTCACTTCAAATATACAGGGTGACTGGTGAATTACTATCGATATTTGAGGACGTGGTAGTTGACGATCATATATGAGAAAATAAAAATTAATATAACATAAATATTAATAAACTTCTAAGTAAAGTTAACCAAAAGTTATGTAATTAATTACGCATCGTGTGAACACCCTACAGATTAGGTATACACACACACACACACACATACGCGGCGGGGGCGTGGTTTTGTATCATCACGCCGCCGCACGCGTCCACACTAGGAACACTTGGAACGTGTCAACACTTTATTTATTTATACGGAAATTTTGTCAAAAATTAAGTACCTATTTTTTTTTCATAATTCGAATGAGAATCATGTACCGAGTACTCTCCTTAAATATTGATAGTTATTCACCAGTCACCCTGTATAATATAATTTAATCTATTATTTATTATTTTGCTGTCGTAATAACCATAATATTATATTATTAATGTTTCAGATACTTATCATATAAATGGCTGGTAGTTCCTTTCTACTGGCTACCATATTTTACTTCTTATATACTAGTATCATTTTTATATGATGGTCATTGTAACAATAAAGTAAGTTAACATTATAAAACATTTATTTTAATATCAATACATATTTTTTTTTCGGTTAGAATGTATGATAATAATAAAAAAATACTGAACGCATTTTGATGAAACTTTTCAAATTTCATCAAAATGCGTTCTTCCGGAATTCCGGAAAATAAAGTAGCCTATGTGCTATTCCTGGACGTCAGCTTCCTGTATACAAAATTTTATGAAAATCCGTTCAGCCGTTTGAGCGTTAAGAAGTAACAAACATACACACACACTCACAAACTTTCGCAATTATAATACGAGTATTAGTAGTAATTTCGTTACAAACGATCATCTATTGAGTTTGATATTTGACCTAAATGTATTTAATTTCCAGGTGAATCGTTCTATAAAGAGTTTACAAGCTATGACTGCCACCCGACTCCTCTTGTCTATGTTGTTGTTAATATCAGTAGCTTTACCATCTTTGTCGAAGGTGCGTTATGTTTTAACGGTGATAGTATTGATGACGTCACTATGCTCATTCATTACTATGACGTGTGTCAGGAGATTCAGATTGACTGGTGAGTTATACTATATTTAAAATACATATAAATATATGTATGAGAATTTAATAATATTATTGTTCTTCTTCTACCTGGCAATTTCCCAGCTATAGCCAGGGTCTACCTTGCATGTTGTGTATAGTTTTGGCTTATTGTTTTTACGACCGTCAGCCTGCCTGACATCAACCCTCTTTTGGGAATCAACATTAATGTCTAAATACTCTTAAAAAGTACATATGACTCGGAAAAATCACATTGGTACTTGCCAGGATTGAACCCGCGCCCTCATGAATGAGAGGCGGGCCTCTTAACCACTAGGCAACCACGACCTTCTACATACACTTATATTTACATCTGCTTACATTCCAGGTGTCCAACACCTGTTGCTACAAGTGTTTCTCTCCGTCCCTCTCTCTCTCTTCTGTTTCTCTCTATCTCTCCGTCTCTCTCCGTTTCTCTCCTCTATCTTGGGTCGTTCGGGTTCCAACTACCCGGATATCATGATGGCGGGTGCTAGCGCCGGTCTCGCTGTAGTCTTCGGTTTTGGCGTGGTGGGTTATATTTATACATATAAGAATACATTTAAGTATATTATATAAATATTCTTTTGATGTAAAAAAATTCTATATAATCAATGATTTAGAATAAATTGATGTAAATGTAAATGCCGTAAATCTTAATTTATTTTGTTATTGGCAAATTAAAATCAGTATATTAATAATCGTCTCTCATAAAAAATATTTAAACACCTAAAATATTTTTATATCACAATAATAATAGAATTCATTGATTTAACTAATTACATTGTTCATTTAAATGATTTTATTATTTATATATAAATATTCTATTATAATAATTTTTCTCCAGTCAGGTATAGAGTTATTATTCTCTAAGTCGTACATGTCCCGCGTACTATGTTCGTTGTTGTGTGTATGGCTCGTGTTGTCGCTCGTGCCGATAACTCAGTACGGGGGCGAGGTTACGCAGAGGCATTACTGGTTTGTGAGTATACATATATAATATTAATATAAACAAAGTATATAAAATGGAAAACTGTAGAACAGATTTTGATAATACTTTGCAGTTATAGATTAGACTTGAGAATAGTTCATAACAGTTCGTTGAATACGAAATGCAACTTATATTTTGTATAGTCACATGAATCAGATAATAGATCGCGCTGTATGTTGGCTATTATATATGACATACTAGCTTTCCGCCCGCAGCTTCGCCCGCGTGGAGTTCGGTTATGTCTCATTTCCAAGAGAACCTTTCAAAAGTATGGGATAAAAACTATTCTATGTTCTTTCTCAAGGTCAACTCTACGTCTGTACCAAATTTCATTAAAATCAGTTCAGTGGTTTAGGCGTGAAAGCGTAACAAACAGACAGAGTTACTTTATTTATAATATTAGTAGGGATTTAAGTATACATTATTTATTTATCTCTGAATTAATTAAAAAGTCTTCTCAGATATAACAGCGGTCAAATACTAGTAAATTTCTTTCAGCACACAAAAATAACAACCTACAACTCAAGTCTAGCGCCAATAGATGTGAATTCTGGTGTAGTTATAATGAAATTGGATCCGTACACTGTACAGTCAGCTTTAAAAGCTATAAAAGAGAGTCCATTTTACTCTGAAAACGAACAAACGAACGAAACATTCATCAAAGGAATCAAAATTATTGATGAAGAGTGCAATGACCTCGTGAACTGCAACCTACCCTCTATAAGACCACGGTTTGATAAATTCATGTAAATATAACTAATATATATTATATTACATATTTATTAATATATAAAGCATATAATAATATTATTTAATATTCAATAAATTATTATTTATATAGGTTAGGCTTAAAGAAGTTTATTTCCAAAAAGAACAAAGTTCGCTTACAAAGGAAATTTTAAAATTATAACTATGTACAATTAAGATATTACAAATAATAAACAGTAGTGCTCTTAGTATCTTCTAATATATGGGTTCTTAATCGTTTTTTTAAATATATATTTAGAGATTTTGAATTTACAACACTTATATATAAATACAAACTGTATAACAATAAAAGAGTTGTAATTATAAATTCTAATATTATTTTGTACAAATATTGTAGTTAATTAAATAAATTAATTGTGTAGTTAATTTGATAACCGATAGATGTCGTCACATATATATCAATATTGATAAAATAATTATATATTTGTATTTATTATTTCCAGGAGGAATAGCCTTTTTCTCAAAATGGATCCACCGAGAGAATTCAATCGTTCATTTAACTTGGTTAATAAATACTGTGACGAAACGAAATGTCATATGAGTTTTATAATGCGTGGTAAGTATGTGAGAAAACCTATCATCATTCAATATGATAACGCGCGTAAGCTCCTCTCTCTACCAAATTTTAAAAGAACCTACTATTTCTGTCTTCGAAGCACGTTCCAAGAATGAATTAATGTTAGTTCTGGACAGGCCCATGTCTTTTAGTAGGTTATAGAGAGATTTAGCTGTTATACCTCTCGCTCCTACTTCTATCACGTACAAATTTACTACGAACCTATTTCGAGTTAGTTCGTTAGTGAGCTCGTAATATTTATTGATCTTGATGGTATGGTCTTTGGATGTTGGTTTCCCAAGGAACCGTAAGCTCTATCATCACAACACGCTTTAGTATACGCGAATATATAAATATGTTTGGTCTGGAGGCCGACGCACAAATATTCTCGGACATTTTGTATTGTTTCTCATATGCATATTATATATATATATAATATTACATAACTTTTGGTTAACTTTACTTAGAAGTTTATTAATATTTATGTTATATTAATTTTTATTTTGTCATATATGATCGTCAAATATCACGTCCTCAAGTATCGATAGTAATTCACCAGTCACCCTGTATATACATATATATCACTACTAATATTATAAATGCCAAAGTAACTCTGTCTGTCTGTCTGTTACGCTTTCACGCCTAAACCACTGAACTGATTTTAATGAAATTTGGTACAAAGATAGAGTTGACGTTGAGAAAGAACATAGGATAGTTTTTATCCCAGACTTTTGAAAGGTTCTCTTGGAAACGCGATATAACCGAAATCCACGCGGACGAAGCTGCGGGCGGAAAGCTAGTAAATATAATCAGTATAATTAATATAATTCCAGGCGCAGCACACAACGCTATAACTCTATATCCGTATTTCAATATAACCGCGTGGTCTTTAGAACCAGAAGTTAAATCAACGACTACCTTCAAAGACAGACCTCTGTACGTTATATACCACGCGTGTAACACATACGTGGAGTTCTTTGAACCTTTTGAGTTCAATATTACTATGGAGGTAGGTTGACAAAATATATTATTGTATATATATGAAATTTAATTTGATGTCATAAATGTCGATGTAGCAAGAAAAAAATTGAAATTTTTCGAAAAACATGATGTAATTATCATATAATATTTTTTTCAATATAAAAGTAGGTAATATATAAGTAAGAATTGAATAAAAATTTATATAGAAAATATATTATGAAATATTCACTAGTTAAGTCACGATAGTTTAGTTGATTAAACGACTGAAACTCAGTTTAGGGAAGATAGGGGATTCAAAACCAGTTTGTGACAATTTTTTTCTCTATATTTCAGGTGCCAAAAACGAAACAAAATGAAAACTTAATAGAAATTTCACATCACTCGCACAAGATATATAATCCAGAAGATTTTACTGAAAATTATATAAAATTAATAAACAACATGCCCGAATACTTTAATATAGCGACCTTCCTGTCTTTCAGGGATAATTATATATTTTAAATCATTAATCAATCAATATTTAAGGCTATACTGTTTTGTATTTTTAATATATTTTATATAGTGATGTTTTATATTGATTTTTATTTCAACAACAACGGTAGTTTATGTAATAATTGGTAGAAAAGTATTAGCCAATGATAATATTAATTTATTATATATATTACTACTATATGTATAGAGTCTTGGAAGAAATTTTGTGATGATGTGTAAATATTGTGATTAAAAAAACTTATACATTAAAATAATGAACATGCTGTTATTTATTCAAGTCTTTAATATTATATTTAATATGAAGTCACGTGACACATTATAGTTGCCGCTGACTGTTGTTAAACACATTATTTGTAAACAAATATTATTTATTCTTAATAAAATTTTGAAATCCAAAAACAGAAAGTTGTACTAAATTGTTATTACATATATTTAAAATTATAGCAAGTTTACTTTGAGTTGGAAACCAAAAAACCTTGAAACAGCAGTTTAGTAGCATTTAATTGATATTAAAATGATTATCTATTAATATCTTTAAATTTGATATTTTAGACAATTTTAGTATGAGTCCATTTAATAGTTTACAAATATCTTAAACTGACATATTTCGAAAGTATAAATATTTTTTACATTATTTCTTATTTAACTTGACATAAGTAATTTGAAAATTGTTTATATAATACATATTATTACTTTATATTAATTAACTACCAAACATTTACAGAAAAGGGTTATAAATAAAAGCACAGTATAGAAACGAATATGATTTATTAAAATCTCAGTCTTTTGAAGGCTCGCTATTATATAAATAAACAACAATATGTACAATATATTTACATCAACACCAACAGCCGATTCACCACTTATTAAGTGGCATGAAACAGTCAAAAATAAATAAAAACAGGGACAAAACAACATACATCCAAATAATTACACCAATAAAACTATAATTATTATTGTTTTCATACTTTATTCTGAGATCGCTAACCTAACATGTTACAAGATAGAAAATAAGCAAAACTTTTTATATAACACACTCAGTGAAAATATGACAGCTATTATTATATAAATTCTTAGTTTTCATTAAATAAAACTTACAACACATAGTCTCTTCAAGTACATAATTAAATTTGAATGTAATACAAAAAAAAAATTCAAGAAATGTTACTTTTCAAATATGAATTTTGAGTCCGGCTTGAATTATAAAAAAACTTAATTAAAAATGTCCATTTTACAACGAAAATATATAACCAAAGTAATTAATATTCCGATACAAGTTAAGTTAAGGCTAGAAATATTAGAATTTATCTGAAAAAGAAAACTTAATTATACACAATTAACTTAAAACACTATTCAATATAGAAAAATACTAAATCTATCTCACACAAAGAATACGGAATAATTGAAAAATTATCTTCAAATTGTATATTCCTAAGCACCTTTTTATAAAAAACAAAACTAACATTGTTTAAACAGAATCTACATTTGTAGAGTAATATTGAATTTGTTTCAAGTTTTATGAGAATTTTTAATAAATTTGTAAATACTTTATTGCAGAAGTCCTAGTGTTTAAATTGTTAATCACAATAGTTTTACTATAGCAATTGCAGTTTTTTTAAACAATTTTTGCGCTATAATGCCAAAATTATATATGAAAATGTCAAAAATGTTTAAGGGAAGTTATAGTAATTATATTATTATTAAAACAAACAAAAAATACTAAATATATTAGTATTACAGTAAGAAAAACAAATACTAACATTTAAGTATTTTTAAGAAAGTAATTATTAAAAAAAAAACCTAATTTATTACAGAATCACTCAGGTCAATGTCAATTAAGACAATAATTAAATTTTGGTGTGATATTACCTCAGAAATATAAAAATATCTTAAAAATGGTGCTTTTCTGCTATTTTTAAAAACATCCTTAATATTAAAGAAATGCTATCAAGACATAAAAGCAGAACACATAAATAATATATCGTTTTTATATAAAAAATATGAACAAAGTCTTATTTCTATTAACAAGTCAAGTGTAGCTTAATTTTTTCTGTTATATATTAAAACAATAGCAATGCAGTATTTATAGAAACACAATTAGTTTGCTAACATATATATATAATATTTTTTCCATTACTACTGACAAGGTAATATCATAAAGCATTATGTTTTAATCCTGTATAGAAAAGAAATATTTTTTCTCAATATATACAGGGTGACTGGTGAATTACTATCGATACTTGAGGACGTGATATTTGACGATCATATATGACAAAATAAAAATTAATATAACATAAATATGAATAAACTTCTAAGTAAAGTTAACCAAAAGTAATGTAATTAATTACGCATCGTGTGAACACCCTACAGATTAGGTACACACACACACACGCGTGCGGCGGCGTGGTGTTGTATCAGCACGTCGCCGCACGCGCCGCCGGCAAGGCTGGGAACGTGTCCACACTTTATTTATTTATACGGAAATTTGGTCAAAAATTAAGTACCTATTTTTTTTACATAATTGGAATGAGAATCATGTACCGAGTATTCTCCTTAAATATTGATAGTAATTCACCAGTCACCCTGTATATATATATGTATTTGAAGAAAAAATATCTAATAAGTTATTGTTTATAAAAAGTCATTATCATATTGGTACATAAGTAACAGCTATTTATTTTTTGTAATTCTGGCTAGTACAATACTATTTTTTAAATATTCAGAACAATTTTGTTTCATTTCTATTATATATCTGTATATATATTCGAGTTATAATAAAGTTATTATAGTAAAACTTACATACATTCTAGGACACTTGTTGATGGAGAAAATTTTAACAAAAGAGTTATGTAATTCAATGTGTCGGTAGAATTAAAAACAGTTGATGAAATAATGCAATTTGTAGTAAAAGTTTAATTTGAAATATCTTCTTATATACAACATTTCAAAAGATATTCATAGTTTATATATAAACTTATTTATATAAATGCCACGGATTTTAATTAACTATTTTAAATGTTTTGAGAAATTGTGAGATTAAATTTACCCATATATATGTAAATATCAACTGATTTCAATTCCACCCATATATAAAATATTTTATATATATACTAGTTATATTATTTATATATTATTTCAGTGTAACACTAAGCCTGCTAGCAGCAACCATTTTCTTGTTGAATTTCTTATAAAAAACTTCAGCGTCGTTGTTATTCTTGAATGTTATTCGGGCCGTTCTATCTTCTTTATCCAATATAAGACTCTGGAAACAATTTTACTTACATACTATAACTTATAATTATATAGCACAAAGATAATGCCATATATAAGAAAAGATTATTTAATATTTTTTGCATATTAAACATGTAATTTTGCTATTCTAGTTAATACAATATTAAATGAGACGAAACTTCTCATCATTCCATGTATTCACAAACTCCTCTCTCTAACTAACCAAATTTGAAAAGAACCTACTAGCATAGTTATTAAAAGTACTATCACAGAAAACAGTCTTATATATTTTTTATACTTATGGCATTTTCTTTATTATAGTTATCAGTATAATTTACATTTAATATAAATATTCACCATACAGACTTAAATTATAACATAATTTACAATATTTATCACATTTTTCAGAAAAAAATCTTTTTAAATACCAAATATCAGAATAATCCCCTATAAATATTTATAATCAATTTCACATTATGTGATTTTAATTTAAACATTTATTTTAATACATTTATGTTTGTAATTTTCTTTATATAAAATTCGTCATCTTATATATATCTTATATATAATAGAATTACATTAAATATATAATTACATAATATAACACATATATAACATAGTAAAGCTAATTTGAATGGTTTAAATGTATATTATTTTTAATATATTTTTAGAATATTTGTATGGTCTAAAGATTACTGTATTATTATTTAGAATTAATATTTTTTACTATATGCCATTTCGTCATCAATCTATCAGAGCCCACTGCTGAGCAAAGGCCTCTTTCTCACATGGAGAAGGGATATTCCCTACTCACAAGCTTTTTCATTTTATTTATTTATTATAACATATGATTTCTATTAAGTATATATTTCATTTTTGCCACACCAACAATTTTTTTTTCTAATATTAACTTTCTTTTATAAGAAATCAATTGGCATATTAACTTACAATCTGACAATAACGTCGAATTAAAATATTAAATCTTCTTAGATATTCAATTTCATATTAAAAAACCTATTTCCATAATAAATTAATTTTGTATTTGAATCAAATGTATTTGTAATTTTCATATATGAATATAATTTCTTCTATAGTTATATTATCTTTTATTATAATATACATTTAAAACACATATATATTAATTCCATCATTACCTGTATGTCCCCAGCCAATGTTTTTAGCCTTGTATCAGTCATACCGTAAGGTAAGTTTTCGACGACAGCCGTTAAGCCAGTTTCATTTTTCTCATTGACATCTTCATCGGAACTTTCATATTCTATATCCGGCTTGGCTGTACCGATGGCTGTTACCGCCCGGCTGAATATACCGCCCGGCTGTAGCCGGCTAAACGATTTATCAGTCGGCTGTAGCCGGCTGGTCGGTTTATCGCTCGGCTGTACCTTATTCTGTAGTATCACACGCCGGTTGGTGAATTGTGATTTAGGTTTTTCTGTCTCACGTTTATCCTTATCTTGCTTTTGTGTCTGGAAAATGAAATTTTATTTGTTACTTATAATGTTAGACTTATAAAACAGTAAGTGGTGGCCTAGTGGTTATAGGGTCCGCCTCTCGTTGCCGAGGGCGCGGCTTCGATCCTGGGCTGGGCAAGTACCAATGTGATTTTTCCGAATCATGTGTACTTTCTAAGACTATTTAGACATCACTGATTAATGTTGATTCCCAAAAGAGGGTTGATGTCAGGCAGGCGGCCGGTCGTAAAAACAAATAGCCAAAACTATTCACGACATGAAAGGCAGACCCTGGCTATAGCTGGGAAATTGCCAGGTAGATATTTATATAAAGATTGTATAAAAAGCATGATTTTCAAAGTAAAAATGTGACTAGATTTAGTGAAAACGATTGTATTACAACATTCTAATATGAGAAATTCATTTATGAGATATCAACATCAAGAATTTATTTATCTAGATTCTAGATAACAAACTGTGAAATTCAATAGTAATATGGTAAGTTAATAACTAATAATTCTAAGTGGAGTTTAAGGAAATTTGACCACAAGTATTATTATTACATTCACATAGAGATCATCTTAATGTGTTTTCCACTTTTTTTCTATAAAGATGTCCTAAAATAATCAGAAAAAGCTTAACTTAAAAAACAGCTGCCTACCTAATCGCCTCTGACGAATTAAAGAAATAAATATATATTTTAATATGCCATTAGAATATCAAACTTTAGTCACAAAAATATTATCAATCATATTAATTGCTAAACAAGTGTTAGCTGATTTTTATAAGGAAAACTGGTCTATACACATAGTATATGTAGGATTAATGTATAATAAGTGATACTTAATTTCATACACAAAGCATCTACTCTGCTTAAAAAGATAAAACATTATGCTAATTTATCACAAAAGCAGTATGTTGAAAGACAAATGACGGCCATAGTTAAAGGTCTAGTTATATTAAGTTAAAAAAATAATAATAAAACTAATATAAAATAATAGACGTCATATAGTAATATAATCTTACCAGTTTATCACAGTATACAATCTTCTGTCTCGCTCTAGGCGCGGCTGTGTTAGTCGATTCAGGTTTTTGTTTGTTTTTAACCTAAAATTATGATAATCAAATGTTAACTACATATTTTATATCTATATATATATCCATCTATGTATATATATACACTGTTTATTGTTGTTTATTTGTATCTACTTTGCAATATATTATATTAAGAAAAAGAAAATATGATATTGAAATTAAATTACATTCATAAATATATATCAGACAGATTTTTGTTTATTTTTAATCTACATTCCGATACATCATATTAACAAGAAAATAATTAAAAAATAATGAATTGTCTACGATTCAAGTAACAAAACATATAAAACCTTCAATTTTGATACATTAAATCATATTTCCTTATTTAATCATATTACTATGTACCAACCTTAACAGTTTTGCTCTCGTTTTTGTCGTTAACATTATTTTTATTAGCTCCCGTTAGTATTGTCCTACGCACTGGGGACTTTTCTGTAATAATAATGAAAAAATATTTATATAAACATTTTTTTATATTCTTAAAGTTTTTTTTGTTCCTATTAAGAAAGATAAATTAAATAATCGTAAAATAAAATTAACCAATTAAATAATCCATCTATCTTCCTGTTAAAGTCCCATTAAAATAGTTGCAGCCGTTTCCAAGATTGAGCGTAACATACAGACATACATTGGAAAACTATTAATTTATATAACATATGTACTGTTAGAAGTCAGTGGTGGCCTAGTGGTTAAAGGGCCCGCCTTTTATGCAGGAGGGCGCGGGTTCGACCCTGGCCTGGGCAAGTACCAATGTGATTTTCCCGAGTCATATGTACTTTCTAAGAGTATTTAGACATCACTGATTAATATATTTCCAAATAGGGTTGATGTCAGGCAGGCGGCCGGTCGTAAAAACAATTAGCTAATTAGGAAAACTATCCACAACATGAAAGGCAGACCTTGGCTATAACTGGGAAATTGCCAGGTAGAAGAAGATGTACTGTTAGAAATAATTTGTGCAGCACTTCCACTTAGAGGTTAACTTGATCCACAACTTGTAACCGTATTCCCAGTCTAACACTTGTATCGTATTTATAATATTAAAAAGTAACATTTAGATGAGGGTGGGTTATAATATAAGGCGCTAGTTCCCCTCATAAGAGTTTCCATACTATAATAAAACACTCAATATTGTGTTAAACATACTAAGGCGCTAATTATAAATTAAAAAACCAATTTTTAAGCATTCAGACATTTAAATTACTGTACAGAAATGTTATTATCATTAATTTACAGTATTAAAACGAATATACAGATAGCGCTAGTTGACTATCATAAGAATTCCCAATAAATATTAGAATATAAATAACGTGAAGCTTAAAATTGTGAAGTAGACAAATATTTAACCCATTATAAATAATTATTACTAACAGTACATACCTTTCTTATCACCCTTGTCAAACACAATCTTCTGCCTCGGTTTGTTCTCACGAGGAGGTAGTTTAGATCGGAGGTCAACTTGTGATGGTTTTGGTGTTTCAACTCTGAAGAATAAATATAAATATATAATTATTTTTCATTATATTCATTGCTTTGTAACATTTCTAAAAGCTATTCTCTAATTAATATTTATAGACTCCGTCATTAACAAACGATATAAATATTATTGAAACATTTGAAGTTGGGTGATAAAAATCTTATCAACATCAGTGTGATTGGTTTGTAAGTTAAAATATCTACAACTCTATTCCAAAAAGTTATTCATTCCATAGATTGTATTTAGTTAGTGAATAAGTTCATAGATCTTTTATAGTTAATGATCAAAATTCATCAATTATTTAAAGGTTCATAGATTAGTCACAGTTAGTGAACCAAGCAACAACTCGTACTAATATTAACTGTTCACCTCGCTCTGTGACGTCATAAGCACGATACCGCTTGCAAAAAAAGAGAATTATATAAAAAATATATAAATTATATATTTTTTTTATGTTGATAAAGGGTCGTTTTTATGATAAGGCGTCATAATACTAGGTCATTTTACTCACGAAGTTTTCAAATTAAATAGATACATGTGGACCGATATAATATTAGAGCTTAACAATAAAAAAACGGCAAGTGGACGATATATTTTTCATTGCGGTGAAATTTTTCATAGTCTAAGATCATTTTTGTATTTAATAATTTAAGTAAATGTAACAAAAATGCTATCGGTCGCATTCCAGAGAAGTGCACAGTTGATTCGTACGAGTTGTAGTTAGTGGTCAAAGTTCATATATCTTTCATAGTTAGTGACCAAAGTTGATATCCTTCATATATTATATTCTACTAACTTGTTCTTTTCCTTGAATCTGCCGCTGTCTTCGTCTGATAGTATGTCATCTATGTCATCTAATATGAGATCTAAGTCATCATCGCTATCTCTTGGTAAGGGAGGCGTTAGTGGTGGGGGCGTCAATGTATCTGAAATATAATATAATTATTAATAATATACGTAATAGTTTATTATAATTATTAATAACATACGATCCTGGCCTAGCAAGTTCCGATTTGATTGTTCCGAGTCATATGTACTTTCTAAGAGTATTTATACATCACTGATTAATGCATTCCCAAAGAGGGTTGATGTCAGGCAGGCGGCCGGTCGTAAAAAACAATTAACCAAAACTATTCACAACATGAATACAGACCCTGGCTATAGCTGGGAAATTGCCAAGAAGAAGAAGAAGATGTGTAATATATGCAATTTTCGTATATTGATAAGTAGTACTTGATCTATGCTTATATAAAGTAAGAATCGTTAATACATATTGAGTGTTAATAGTTTTTCATTCATACATTTTCGTACGTTATAGTATAAACGAAAGTTTTTGAGTGAGAAAACAATTCCTATGTAGTGTGACCATAAAAACTTGTGTTAAATATACACTACATTAAATGAAATAAAGTTATATTGAGATTTTTTTATAAAATAACTACACCAAGATAAAGTCCTATCAAATCAGTATAATAATTTACTCGTATTTTTTCTTTAGTATTAATTTCTATTGTGTACTACAACAATTTTTTCACAATTCATATAAAAACATACTAAAATATATAGCCAAATTTGACTAACCACAAGTTGAATTAGCTTCTGTACGTTCGACTTTGATCGGTGAGCGATCTCTTTCAATCTTCTCCGTTTTAACAATTTTCTCCGTTTTCTCCGTTTTAACAACCTTCTCCGGAGTCTTCCTTGTCGTATCTGGTATATTCTGTTCTGGTAACACTGTTGGCTTAATGTCTTTCTTTTCTTCTAATTTAACTTCTTTCTCGTGATCTTTGTCTCTGTAAATATTAATTTTAAAATTAAATTTGATTCTATTAGTATTACTATCATTGTTTCTTAATTGCTCAAATATTTGGGACTTACTTTCAGCAAGCCCAAAATACCTAAAACTCAATTCTTAGTAAAAAAAATCTCTAGTAATGATACTACAAGCATACATGTAACATTTAAATGAAACTAATATTTTTCGGATTATACTACGCGTATTTTATTATGTAACTACATACACATCTCGTCTTAATGATCACGGTTGCTGAAGAGTAGCTTAAACGTCGGGAGTATGTAGTTTTTATCCAAAATAAAGTCGCGTAGTATATCCGAAAAATATGTTTCATTTAAATGAATAAAATTCGCGAAAATCTTAGATTTCATATACATATAACATACTTATCAGATAATCTCCTCTGTAAAGCGACAGCATTTTTTCTCCTCCTAACTTCTTTCGCACGTAAAACTCTCTCTCTTAAAGTCTCTTGTTCTCTTACGCGACGTCTATAATCACTTTCCTGCTAAAATAATAATAATAAATAAATTGTATTCTATGAATTATTTTATTTATTTATATCTAAGTGTCAATTACGTTTTACGTCCAACGAATCAAGATAAAATATTACTTTTAGATTGTTTATCTATTTCCTTTTGAATTCAACAAATGTAAATTTAATTCAGAATATTAGTCTAGCTTTTGGGGACGGCTTTACGCGTTGTAAGGGCTTAACAATGTAAAAATTTTAGCATGTGTTAGAAAGTTAGTATTATAAGATAAATAGCTTTCCGCGTGGAGTTCGGTTATATCGCGTTTCTAAGAGAACCTTTCAAAAGTCTGGGATAAAACTATCCTATGTTCTTTCTAAAGGTCAACTTTATCTCTGTACCAAATTTCATTAAAATCAGTTCAGTGGTTTAGGCGTGAAAGCGTGACAGACAGAGTTACTTTCGCATTTATAATATTAGTAGGGATTATTCATCCATTTATAAGTTCTGTTTGAACATCGATACAACAATATGAACTATTGTATTTGTTAAGCAGTGGTTTAATAAACTTATTATGAAAACTTGGAAAATATTTTATGCATACTCTTAAAATATAGTAAAAATATACATATTATTTTAGATTTTTATTTATATTTTATCTACTCTCCATATATGTAAAACTATCAATTTTATTACATTAATCCTATTAATATTATAATTGCGAAAGTTTGTGAGTGTGTGTATGTTTGTTACTTCTTCACGCTCAAACGGCTGAACTGATTTTGATAAAATTTTGTATACAGGAAGCTGACGTCCAGAAATAACACAAAGGCTACTTTACATCCCGGAAATCCGCGGGTAACACCGCGGTGCGCAGCTAGTACTATGTATATAGTATGGTTTTGTCTGTCTAACCTCATCTGTCCTTCTTCTATCTGGGCTTCGCGCACGTTCAGGGCTTCTACGAGGTGAAGGAGATCGCATACTGAAATATACAAAACATCATGAAAATATTTACTACTATACTATACTATACATGAACTTACAACATATATTATGGACTCCAAAATAGGTCATTTATATTGTATTATGTAAGAATTTCCAACAATTCATCAATTTTCATTGTGTTTTGATGTAGTTAAAATTATATTTTTATGTTTGAAATTAATTATATCATTAGAAAAATCATTATAATATATTAATGAGCAGAATTTATTTCTGTGTAACATATAGGAATATTAAATCACATTATCAACATCAGCCTATTTCTGCCTACTCCTGAGCATAGCCTCTTCTCACATGGAGAAGGTTAGAGCATTAATCACCACGCTTGTTCAAGACGGATTGGTGATTTCAATCTTATAATTGTTACTTATACTTATAATTTATATGAAATTATACATGTAGGCTTCCTTTGATATTTTTTTTTTCAACTTATCGGTAGTGTCGAATTACTTTTAGAAAGTACATATTATGACTCGGAAGAAATCACAATGGTACCTATCGGAATTCGAACCCATGACCTCATGTACTAGAGGCGAGCCTTAAAGCTATATTACGACTATTTAACATATCATTGTATAGATTGTATGAACTAAAATGACGCGCCCACTACATTTTTTTGTGTGTGAGTGAATTTATGTGTGAGTGCAAATATTTATGATAAATTATTGTATGTGTGTGAGCGTCAACTGTGACTTATATGCAAAAATAACAGTCAGATAATCTTAAATGTATAGATCAGCACTAGTGCGTATCTTCTTCTTCTTCCTGGCAACCTCCCAGCTTTAGCCAGGGTCTGCCTAATGAATGTATATAACGTATTTATGAAACAAGACGTCATCCTTTTCACATGAATAGAAAATTATTATAATTTCGATGACTAATAGTAAAACTACCACTATCAACTACGATCTACAAAGAAATGGAATTCAAAGACTTCATAGATATATCTTTAATTAATGATTTGGTAGTTTTTCTAAACTGTTAATTTTTTTTTTAAAGTACATGATATTTAGAGAGAATTGAGATTTTTTCGAAGTAGTAAATAATTAAGTTCGATGAAACTATTTTATAATTAATATTCATTAAAATCAATATAATCGCTTTCAGCAGCTTTGAAGACCCTGGCTAAAGCTGGGAGGTTGCCAGGAAGAAGAGAAGAATCGCTTTCATCTGAATCAGAATCGTTAACGTCAATAATGAATTCTTTATCCATGTCAGAATATTGTTTATGATATTTTTATGGGAACGGGTTTATGTATTTGCTGACGATACTTTTATGATTAAACAATGCGTGCTCCTACGATTGTGTGTATCCAAGGACTTATTGACCAATCACAGAATATGTATGTATTGTATACATATTTTTTTGTATGCAGTAGTGGCTAGTGGGGAACGTTATTTTAAATTAGACAATCTATATTAGTTATTTATATACATATATAATAGTTATATAAGTCAGTGGTGGCCTAGTAGTTAAAAGGCCCGCCTCTTAAGCATGAGGGCGCGGGTTCGATCCTGGCAAGTATCAAAATGATTTTTCCGAGTCAAATGTACTTTCTAAGGGTACTAAGACATCACTGATTTATGCATTCCCAAAGAGGGTTGATGTCAAGCAGGCGGTCGTAAAAACTATTCGCAACATGTAAGGCAGACCCTGGCTATAGCCGAGGAATTGCCAGGTAGAAGATAATAGTTATATATGTTGTATGTACCGTCTCCTAAGGCCAGCCCTATTAGCGTTAATGAATTCTTCTTGTCTTCTAAGCAAATCATCATCAGATCTTCTACTGGAGCGAGCTAGCTCATTCTCAATCTCAATAGTAGTGTTTTCTATATACCTGTAAAATATGAAATATATATTTTATTTATATAAATGCCTGATATAATGTTAATAAAATTTCCTATTTAATAAATTGATAAATTTAAGGACTGTATAAGAACATCCTATATTTACTAATACTGTTGTGTATAGACAAATGATATAATTTGAAAAAGGTATATATGTTTTTCTTAATAATGGTCTATTAAAGTAGGTACTTTTTTCTTCACTGATAGTTTAATTACATAGAAAAATTAAGAACAAAGATAATATATGAATATATAATAAAACTTTAATTAAGCAGTTTGTGACTTGAAATTTTTGGGTAATTTATTTTATAACATATAAAATGTATAAATCCCACCTATCTATATAAAATACCTAACTCTTAGATAAGCTAACTATCAGAGTTTTAATACTATTATAGTTGATATCAAAAAAAGGTCATTCACCTCATAGGTTCTCTATTCCTTGCCGCTGCTCTTGCTAATGCTTGTCTTTGCTCAGCTATAAACCTTTCAGCGGCCTCATCTACTGGCAATGATGGACCTATAGACAGAATTATATATATTTCAACTATATAGTATATATAACATATATACAGATGGGTACTATGTATGTAGCAATTTAGCCATTTTTAGTTTTTTGCTTTAAACACTTCATAACACTATATTCTACGAAAAAAAGTGTATTTGTTGGTGGAAAAACTTAGTTTTTATTGAAGTAAAAAAAGCAAAGCAACACACTTTAATGAATAAGAGCTTATACATATAATGTATATTATAAAAATATATATCTTAAAAAACTAGTAGGTTTACAAAAAAGTTTATCAAGCTTAAATGACGTACATGTATGTCATAGTTGCTATACAAAGTTTCAAAAGCATCAGTTGTCGCATGTACAAGATACATTAAAATCAAACTTAAAACACCTCTACTGAACAATTGTCATTTTGCCCTTATACATAGGAACCATTGATAAATATAAAAATATATGCCAATCAATAGAAACTCCACTCAAAGTAAGGTGCAAAAAACTCTACATAATTGAAATAGAAAACTACAATATGCAATACAAACTTACATAACACACATACAATATATATTTAGTACTATAATGGTATTAGAATCCTACTTTTTTGAAGTCGGTTAAAACTATATATGAGTGCAAAACACAAAGCCAAGTCATTCAAGCTAGTATATGTATTTACCAAATTTCGCCTCCAAAGTAGGACTTAGCGGCGGTGTCTTTATGATCCGCGTTGGTATGTAGGCAAGCCCTAATTAATGATATATTTAAAATTAACTTGAAATATTTACATATATATAAATAAATAAAATAAATTTGTATGGTAAATCAGTAGTTTTTGTGGTTAAGAAATGTTTTTAAAAGGAATTATTTGTATATAAATATTAAGGTATTAAAATTTTACCTTCAACGGGAGGTTGGAAATTCCCTTTGAAGTGTGGATTGATTAGAACCTTCTTCCCTGGAGGTAAATTAGGCGGAAGTGGCACCGGCAGCATCCTGACTTCCGGTTCCTTAATTGGCATTGGCATTGGCATCGGCTGGCGGATTGTGACTTGTGGCATTTGATTTGTGTTGACGATTTCGCGCATTGGCGGAAACCTTGGGTTGTATGTAGGTCGTTGGTAGAACATAGGCCCAGAATTTGGCCCAGGATTTGGCAGAATATTTGGCAATTCGGGCCTATTGTCATTATTGGGTCTGAATTGGAAATTTTGGAAGTTCTGATTATATGGCCCTTCTATTGGCAGTTCTTGTGATAGAATTGGTCTTTCCGGTGATATTTCCGGTCCCATCGGTATATCGGGACGTATTTCCGGTATATCCGGCCTTATTTGTGGATTTATGTTCTGTGGTCGCATTGGCGGAGGAAATGCAGGTCTTGGGTTATTGAAATTTCCCTGGAGAAAAAAATACTCGATTTTAACATCAGCAATTACAGATTAGATATTCATATGACAAAAGTTCTACATTCTTCCTTATTAACGTAGTATGCTTTTTGCTGTCATCAAAAACAAATTTTTATTTATAAGAATACTCGATGTTCATATTCAAATATATTGTGTATATTTTAACTAGCAAACTAAGTATATATTTTAACAAACAAAACTAGCTTAACAAACACACATAAATATTGGTATAATCACAAATTATGTTAAAGTAATATATATTACTTTCTTAATATTTGCCATCCTTCATTTATCTAGTATTTAATGTGATATATATCAGCAGATTTTAATGAAATTTACATATTTTTATAATATTATTTAATTTTATTTTTCCTTTAAAGACATGTATATGATAATAACTTTATAATATATACTGACCCTGTAATTATATCGTCTGTAAGGCTTATAAGATCTATTCGGATTGCGCCAGGCGCGCCCTCTAGCGGGAAAAGTGTTCGGTACAAACACTTTATCTGAAATATGACAATAAATTATTATATAAATATTTATTTTTTTTTGTAACATCAAATACAGGGTGACTGGTGAATTACTATCGATATTTGAGGACGTGATATTTGACGATCATATATGACAAAATAAAAATTAATATAACATAAATATTAATAAACTTCTAAGTAAAGTTAACCAAAAGTTATGTAATTAATTACGCATCATATGAACACCCTACAGATTAGGTATACACACACACAAACATACTCGCGCGCGGCGGCGTGTTGTTGTATCAGCACGCCGCCGCACGCGTCCACACTTGGAACACTGGGAACGTGTACACACTTTATTTATTTATACGGAAATTTGGTTAAAAATTAAGTACCTATTTTTTTTACATAATTCGAATGAGAATCATGTACCGAGTATGCTCCTTAAATATTGATAGTAATTCACCAGTCACCCTGTATATGTATAATATTGATAAAACTAAATGTTATTTAGAAAACAAAGGTGCAATGCATTTTCTATTACATCATCTATAATATATAAAAGTTGAATCAAAATAGTGCCAATAGTTACAGAGATAAAGTTTATTAAAACAGACAGACAGACAAAAAGGTATATTTTACAATATACATATGTATATGCATTTAGGAAAAAGCATATATGATATTAAATACAGACAATAAAAATGTATTTAATTATATATACATATAGGTAAGTTTTAGTTACATATTTAAATGTATGTATATATAATATATATTTACCTAATGAATCTGGTATATTTCTTGGTAACGCTGATCTCTGTGAACGATTTTCTGTTGTTCTTTCATGATTTTCAACATCTACAAAAATAAAAACATTATTTTCACATGTATATGTATAATGAGATCTAAAATTTTCGCGAGTTTTATTCATTTAAATGAAACTAATATTTTTCGGATATACTACACGACTTTATTTTCGTAAAAAACTACATACTCCCGACGTTTCGGCTACTTTTCAACAACCGTGACCACGATTAATAAAGTCACGTAGTTTATCCGAAAAATATTAATCTCATTTAAAGATAAATTATGTTATAAAATTATCTTGATACCAATAATGCAAATATTTCTCAAAGAAAACTTCACATATGGCAAAAAAATCTGTTTTACACCTTTAATTTTTCTTATATAATTTTATGTATAATCGTTACACAAACATACACACAATTTAATTAATAAACTTACTTGGTGTTTCCGTTGCTTCTGATGGTACAATCTGTGGTGATTCAATTGGTGTTGCCGGCTGAAATATTAACATAATTATTCATTACTATGTGGAAATTATTTAACAATAATATGTAACAAAATTCTGTTATTGTAACTTAATTTCAGGATTATATCGGCAGCTTCGCCCGCGTGGAGTTCGGTTATATCGCGTTCCCAAGAGAACCTTTCAAAAGTCTGGGATAAAGACTATTCTATGTCCTTTCTCAAGGTCAACTCTATCTCTGTACCAAATGTCATTAAAATCAGTTCAGTGGTTTAGACGTGAAAGCGTAACAGACAAACAGACAGAGTGACTTCCGCACTTATAATATTAGTAGGGATTGTATATAACTGTATTTCATATATATTTATTTACTAGTTATACAAAAAAAAATAATTATTTATGTATATAACCCAATCAAAGAGTTTTTAAGCACATTTCTATAAGATATTAATAATAACAACAACATATATATATCGTCGGGGATAGTGCAAATCTGAGTAACTAGCTAATAATTCAGCATATCTACATTGGAAGCAGATTATAAGAAAATTTGAGCTGAAATATTTTCTATATTAACGATTTTTAAGGTAATTTTTTCACTATTAGTAATAAATTAAACACTAAATAATTACTAATTGTGAAAAATATATTGTGGTTAAAAGGCCCGCCTCTCATGCATGAGTTCGCGGGTTCGATCCTGGCCCGGGCAAGTACCAATGTGATTTTGTCATTTGTACTTTTTAAGAGTATTTAGACATCACTGATCAATGCTGTGTTATAAAAATAATATAAGACAAAAGACATATCGGCATAACAAAATCATTAACATGTTTTGTATGTTCTACAAAGAAAATAACATTAAAATTGTATCATCTGTTTGAGAGTTGCATTGCCTCAGACAGACACACACACAGACATGTCAAACTTATAACACCCTGCCATTTTTGCATCCGGCATTAAAAATAAAATAAAAAGTTTATTTATAAAGTCCTTTAAATCTTTCCTTACATGCTTCATATAATCCTACTAATATTATAATTGCGAAAGTTTATGAGTGTGTGTGTATGTTTGTTACTTCTTCACACTCAAATGGCTGAACGGATTTTGATAAAATTTTGTATACAGGAAGCTGACATACAGGAACAACATATAGGCTACTTTAAATCCCAGAAATCTGCCTGTAACACCGCGGGGCGCAGCTAGTACTTCATACAACAAAAATTCCATATAAATACTTAGAGATGGATAACAATTTCATGCTTATTATATATGTTTGTTATATTTACTTACAATAGCTGGTGGTACCGCATGCTCCTGTTCAAATGTCTCTCTGTACGGAGTGTATGATTGTGTATTCGGAACTTCTACCATAATATTAGGTACGACACTTTCCGAGTCCGGTGCAGTATAAGATGGCTGTAGGATTTATAAATTTATATTTACTAAGAAAACTTTGAGGAAAATAATACAGTGATAACACCTATTTTAACATTATTTTGTTTAAGATTCTCATAGGAAATTTATTTTATTTTATTAGATATCAATAGCATGGGTTTGGTTTAATATGTCAGTGGTGGCCTAGTGGTTAAAGAGCCGCCTCTCGTTGCCGAGGGCGCGGGTTCGATCCTGGCCCGGGCAAGTACTGATGTGATTTTTCCGAGTCATATGTACTTTCTAAGACTATTTAGACATCACTGATTAATGTTGATTCCCAAAAGAGGGTTGATGACAGGCAGGCGCGGCCGGTCGTAAAAACAAATAGCTAGAACTATACACAACATGTAAGGCAGACTCTGGCTATAGCTGGGAAATTGCCAGGTAGAAGAAGAGATCAATAGCATGGGTTTATAAAGGGAAACTAATAATATATAATGTATAATACCTGAGAGTACTCCAAAGTTCCCGAAGGATATTCTGCCGGAACAACTTCTGTTTGTTCTCTGTAAGCATTTGCTGTTGGTACATTTTGAGATGGCCCCCCATCGTAATCGTCAGCCAAGAGTTGTTCTTCCTCCTCATTGCCAAGGTTATAGTCAGCTAGACTGTGATCTCCTAAGTCGTCGCCGAGTAAATCCTCGCTGCGGAAAAACAAAACTTATCGATTTGTACACGCGTATATTACGAACACTATCCAAGAACACTAAATGAAAGGATTCATTGTATATACTTTTTAAACACTCTATTTAACTTCTAGGATGTTTATAGTGATATAATAATATATGTTATTAACTAAATTATAGAAAGTAAAAATACTAACTTGTCCGACATGTTGTCAAAAATTCTTGCGTTCTATTTTTTTTTTGTAGCTAATGGTACAGAGTAGAGCATCGATATAACTAATGGACATGCCGTACGCGTATAATCTGTAGTATTGTGGATAGCGTTGCATCCGATGTTTTTGTAGTAAAGACTGATTGTTTTTGTTATATTTTAATTTATTTTTTAGATTATTTTTTTATTAAATTTATTGTGAAAATAAAAATATATGAAAAATGGTTCAATATTGTTAATGGAGAGCTGATAAAGAACCGCGAAATCTTTTCACAAGTAAGAATATAAAAAACTAGCTTTTGCCGCGACTTCGTCTGCGTGGAATAGTGACTTCCGGCAGATTTTTGGTTCTTCCCACATAGTTCCCGTTCTTGTGGGTTTTCGGAATGGTCGAGTTCCCGTAGAATTTCAGGAAAAACCTAAGTTTTTTTTAATTCACAATGAAGTACTCTTAACCAACAACATATTTATTTATTTGAATAAAGATTAAGATTATTATGTTGATACAACTTAACAAATTATTTCGACCAAATTAGGTACCATAAAAACGGTTTTTGTGAGTTAATCTTAAAAGATAGACGTATACTGTAGCGGACTGTTTTTTAGATCATTAAAAGAGCTATTATTCTTTGATACATATTTTTTCTGTATCTTGAACCGTTTTCACGGCGTACGCAACGGAAGGCTTCAAAGATGAAATAATTTCTCCCGTTTTTTACACATTTACCACTATATCTTTGCTCCTATTGGTCGTAGCGTGATATTATATAGCCCACGGCCTTCCTCGATAACTGGACTATCCAACACAAAAAGAATTATTCAATTCGAACCAGTAGTTTCGGAGATTAGCGCTTTCAAACAAACAAACAAACAAACTAACTCTTCAGCTTTATAATATTAGTATAGATTTCCGTTGAAAGAATCAGAAAAACAAAAATGGCTAAGCATTATTGGAAAAATGGTGTGAACATAGGTAAACGGACATCAATCTGTTCAATTCATTTCGAGAAGTCTTGTTTTCGCTATGGATTAGTCAACAACAGAGAAGGGCTCAAACCTGATTGTGTTCCATCTTTATATTTGACTAAAACAACAGGTGATATTATTATTATTATATGGTTATAAATATATTTAAGAACGTTCTTGTATATTTGAGTAATGAGTTAAATCTACGAAATTAAAAAATATATATTTCATAGATGTATATAACACGGATTTAAATTTATTGATTAAAATAATTAATGTAACCGTATAATTCATAAGTTATTAATTCAAAAAATCAGAGAAAGGTTAAACGTAAAGCTGTATATTACATTAGGAAATAATAAATATCCAGAAGGGGCTCATAACGTCTTAAGTACGGTACTATTTTGAGAGAGATAAAGATAGACCGAAACTTCGTTTCCTCTCTTTCTTTCGGTGTGCCACAATTCTCATCTCCAAGGCATGTCCTTTAGTCGATGGAGTAGAGCATATAGATTCATTGTCCAGTTTCACAGAATATTATGAATGTAGCTTATATTAATTTTGTAGTATTTTGATTATATCACCAAATTAATAATAAAAGTTATTACGGTACAACTTTGATACTATAATATTTGCAGAATTACTCTAAAGTTTTTAAAATGATTAAGTATTATTTATATTTTATATTTTAAAATATAAATATGAAATGTCATTGTCATTACAATACTGAATACATGCTCTTGTCATATGTCATTAAATCACTTAATACTCATTAGTGTTGCAAAGCGGTTTCAGGAAAGATAAATAAAAATTTGGAACCTAATTACAATGAAATGAGTTAATGGTACATCTTTATTTTCATACACTTGTTTGTTGTCAATAATTTTTTTAATTCACAATGTCAGAGGACTTAGAGGCAGACGGCGAAATAGAGTTTCTTGAAGAGGACGCCGATATAGTTCAGCAGTGTGTACATAATAATGAAGATAGTCAGTCTTATCTGGATTCGTCCCAGTTAATGGCAGTCGAACCCGATGACACTATACAGGAAGAATCGCCGCGGAACACTTTGTTAGTGGAGCGAGTTTCAAACGATCGTCGACGTAGACGAAGACGTAAAGATGAAGAAGATTCGGATTATAATCCCCATGATGACATGCCGCCAAAGAAGAAGAAACGTCAAGGACGCCCCCGACGCGTGGAAGTGCCCGTGAGGAAAATGGAAGCAACAGATCGTATGCATACTACAACTAAATCAGTTAAGAGATATGAGAAAAACCGTAAGAAAATGGACATACGGATCCCGGATTATGAGGATCCGCTGTGTTTACCGGTTCGTGGGCTATTGAAAGAGGAGGGAAATGTGCAGAAATTAAAAAATTGGAATAATCTGTGCTTAGAACACTTCAGAAATTATGATTTGCCTTTGAGAGCAGACAAGGAAGAAACAGTGTCTTCGAAACGGACTGTTGTGCTTCGAAATCTCTATAATAATACGACTGGTAGGTAATTCACATTATAAATACGAACTTTTTATTCGAATCTAAAATTTTTATATAAACAAAATTTATCTTAAGAAACTGTATTTCATATCATCAAAATAACAGTGCCATTTATACAATTTTCATCATTGCATAATTACAGGTAAAACAGAAACTACAATGCACAGTAAAATATGTGTAGAAAACAGCAAAGGTGTTAAACGTTCTGAAATCATACAAGCAGTGTTGCCGAAGTATAGAGAGAAAAAAGTTCTTAATTTATATAGGTTGTTGGAATCAAAGAAACGAAGATCGCACAGCTATAAAGAAGAAGTTGTATTAACAAAGGAAACAAACAAAGACGTGGAATCACTCGTTGTTTATAAAAGGGCGGAGAATATGTCATTGGTATACAAAATGTTTGAGCGGAAAGGGTAATTATTTTATTATATTTATGTGAAATAAACGATACATATTTTTTTATACATTCTTGTTATACAGGGTATTTTTTGAATAGATTGAATAATGTTGAGTTTTAGCACAAAATAAATACTAAAAATAAAATTGAAAAGTCTTTACTTGCTTTTATATTGCTTTATTTTTGTGATATTGGCGTCAATTATGTAGTGACAATTGAGTGGTGTTATTATGTAGAAAGAACATTGAGATCTAAGACTTTCCGGATTATTAATTTAAATAAAACAAATATTTTTGGATTACTATGCATTTATTGCTATTTTCAAATCACATATTGCTAACATTTTGTAACAACTGTGATCACAGGCAGACATCAGACATTTTTGTGTGAAAATGTCTAAATAATACATAATAAATAATGTTTAGTCACTCTGAAAATATTAGTTATATTTATTTAAATACTAGCTGCGCCCCGCGGATTTCCGAGATTTCTGGGATGTAAAGTAGCCTATGTGTTATTCGCGGACGTTAGCTTCCTGTATACAAAATTTTATCAAAATCGGTTCACAAGTTTGGGTGTGAAGAAGTAACAAACACACACACACACTCACAAACTTTCGCAATTATAATATTAGTAGGATGAAATTATTATTTGTATTAATTGACTACATTTAATGTATGAATATATATTTCTTTCCAGAGATACTCCCGACGAAGATGATAGAAAATATCTTAAAGAAGTCACCTGTTGTAAGATCTGTGCTCCGTGCTATCAAACATCTTGGAGGGGATTTAATAATAATGACAAGAGTATGAACATATATTTTATTTAACAAAATTATTTATATCTATATATTATATGCATATCGTCGGGGATAGTGCAAATTCGTGTAACTACCATTGGATAATTCCGCGTATCTGCGTTGGAATAAGTTATCAGAAGAAACTTTATGCTGTAATATTTTCAATATTAACGACTTTTAAAGTATTTTTTTCACAATTAGTAATAAATTAAACACTGAATAATTACTAATTGTGAAGAAATTTCCTTAAAAGTAGTTAATTTGGAAAATTCAGCTTAAACTTTGTTCTGATTATCTGCTTTCAATGTAGATACGCGGAATTATCAAATGCTAGTTATGTGGATTTGCACTATCAGTGACATTATATTATATTTGACAGAATTACTTACATACATATATATTATATGCATATGTATATATGTGTACATATCAGAAAATAGTTTATTATAAAATAACAAATGATTGAATTTTAGTTGAAAAATTTTAACCAGGTCACACAAAGAATATTCCACCTAAATTAATTATTCAACTCTTGTTACAAAATAATAGCAATTTTTTCAACAACATTGCTTTTTTAAAGTTGCAGTTTCTTTAACAACTATGACCACTGTCTTAGTTATTGCTTTATGATCAATATTTGATTGTTTTTCTTAACATTTCTTATTTATTTCTTTGATTGTTTTTCTAGGAAACATTACATGTCAAATATGTAAGCGACCATGTATAAGTGTTTACAATCTTCTATCTCATATGAAATGTCACTCGGATGTTGATATAAGGAGATATAAAAGAGCTATATCAAGGAGCTTGGCGGGTGTAAGTATTAAACTAAGATATACAGGGTGACTGGTGAATTACTATCAATATTTAAGGAGAATACTCGGTACATGATTCTCATTCGTATTTTGTAAAAAAAATAGGTACTTAATTTTTTACCAAATTTCCGTATAAATAAATAAAGTGTGGACACGTTTCAAGTGTTCCAAGTGTGGACGCGTGCGGCGGCGTGCTGATACAACACCACGCCGCGCGCGCGCGCGTGTGTGTGTGTGTGTGTGTGTGTATACCTAATCTGTATTGTGTTCACACGATGCGTAATTAATTACATAACTTTTGGTTAACTTTACTTAGAAGTTTATTAATATTTATGTTATATTAATTTTTATTTTGTCATATATGATCGTCAAATATCACGTCCTCAGGTATCGATAGTAATTCACCAGTCATCCTGTATACTAAAAAGCTTTATTTATAAACAAAATCTTAACAAAACAAAGCTGATATTATTACTTAGAGTAACTTTTAACTAGATTTTTTATTAAACAAATATGATATAATATAAAAGATTTTCTCTGAAATTGAGGTGGATTTAGACTTACATATTTGTTTTGGGTGCTTAATAGGTATTTCATATTAATTTTAGTTAGTTGTACTACAGTCGTTCTTCTTCTACCTGGCAATTTCCCAGCTTTAGCCAGGGTCTCCTTACATGTTGTGAATAGTTTATAGTTAATTAATAGTTTATTTATTAATGTGCTTTAGTAAGTTGTACTAAAGTACTATAGGTTGTTTGCAAGAAAAATAATTTTCTTAGAAAAAGAGAGATAAATAAAAGTAGATAGTTGTATTTGTCGATATAGATAGATTTAATAGTCAAGCACTATTAAGTTGTAATAAAATTAACTTGATTTAAAATATTTCAACAAACAAAACATTTTGATATTACTTATATACTGTACACTATTAAAATTATACTCTTACTAGCTTTTGCCGCGACTCCGTCCGCGTGGAATAGTGACTTCCGGCAGATTTTTGGTTCTTCCCACATAGTTCCCGTTCTTGCGGGGTTTTCGGAATGGTCGAGTTCCCGTAGAATTTTCAGGATAAAACCTATGTCTTTTTAAATTTACAATGAAGTACTCTTAACCAACAACATATTTATTTGTTTATTTGAATAAAGATTAATATTATTATGTTGATGCAACTTAAACATATTATTTCGACCAAATTAGGTACCATAAAAACGGTTTTTGTGAGTTAATCTTAAAAGATAGACATATACTGTCATGGATTGTTTTTTAGATCATTAAAAGAGCTACTATTCTGTAATACATATTTTTTGTTTATCTTGAACCGTTTTCACGGCGCACGCAACGGAAGGCTTCAAAGATGAATTATTTTCTCCCGTTTTTTACACATTTACCACTATATCCTTGCTCCTATTGGTCGTAGCGTGATTTTATATAGCCCACAGCCTTCCTCGATAACTGGACTATCCAATACAAAAAGAATTATTCAATTCGAACCAGTAGTTTCGGAGATTAGCGCTTTCAAACAAACAAACAAACAAACAAACAAACAAACTCTTCAGCTTTATAATATTAGTATAGATTAATAATAATCTTGTTTTTTTTAAGGCCGTTGAATATCACTACAAGTGCAGAATATGTCAAGAACAATTCTTAAGTATAAAGGATCTCAGGATACATGTCAACAAACATAAAGGTATATTCTATATATTAATATTAAATTATATATCTATTGAAACAAGATAAATTTTAAATGAAACTAATGTTTTCGGATTTACTACACGATTTTTTATTTTTGATTATAAACTATATACTCCCGACGTTTCGGTTACTTTTCAGCAACCGTGATCATTAAGATGAGATGTGAGTGTCTCATAAAAAATCGCGTAGTAAATCCGAAAATATTAGTTTCATTTAAATGAGTACTCGCGAAAATCATAGATCTCATTAAGATAAATTTTGTAAACAATTTTATGATTAGTTTACAATATTAATCATATTTCAATACAGCGTGAAAAGTATAAAATACTAATAATGTTGCTGTTTTTATATATTTATCTAGATTTGATATAGGCCTGTTAGTTTTTTGTTATTTTTTTTGTTTTTGAATATTTCTTTATAATAGTATTTGAAAAATCCCTTCACTGTATATTTATAAATTTGTTTTTTCTGTTTTAGCAATAACAGTAAAATAATTTTTCATAAAGTAAAAGCTACTTCTTCTATCTGGAAATTTTCCCAGCTATAGCCAGGGTCTGCCTTACATGTTGTGAATAGATTTGTCTATTTGTTTTTACGACCGCACACCTGCCTGACATCAACCCTCTTTTTGAATCAGCATTAATCAGTGATGTCTAAATACTCTTAGAAAGTAAAAGCTACTAATGAGCTAAAATCTTTAAAATGATTCAAATGAAATCTCTTAACATTTTTCACCTTTCCTTAGTTTCATATCACTTTAGCATTTATTTTATTACTTTATTTTTCAGGTACAGAAACATTTATGTGCGAAGTTGGAAATCATCTGACGACTTGATCCTAATAAATTGTTCAAAGAATTTTTAGTTTGATTCAATACTAGAAGACCCGGCGAACTTCGTATCCCCCTATAATCAAGAAATATCTGTTACGTTTTTTAATAAATAAATTTAAGTTATACCTTAGTATCAGAAACACGTGGTGGTTATGCTATTATTAAATAGTCGCTCATATATGACGTTCGTATTTATAACATAGCGCCATCTATTGAATACTTAACTCAGACAACAGCTTATTGTAATAATGACAAATAATTTTATAATAGACAAGTAATTTGCAATAAAATAATATTGTGACTATAAATTGAGATGTAAGCTATCTTATCTTTCAAGTTGGATCAATATGCACACGGAATGCAAATCAAATTTAAAATCGGTTTAGTAGTTTAGGAGTCCATAGCGGACAAACACGTGACACGAATTTTTTATATATATAAAGATTATAAATATAAACTTTAAATAAAACAAAATGCATTTTAAATTTAAACAGAATAATGAAATAAATGAAACAGCTTTCTGTGTAATATGATTTATTTGAAAATTTTTTTAGCTACAGTTTTATAGCCACATATTTTCTCCCACACAAGTATTTGATAAATACGCTTTACTTTTCATACGCCCACATTTCTATTGTTACACTACTTAATTCTATCATTCTAATTAGCTGTAGGTATTTAAATTAAATAAGTATTAAGAGCTCTAACAATCTCGCTAAGAATAGGTTCGTCATAGATTTGGACGCGGTAAAAGTGGTAGTGAGAGGTATAACTTCTAAATCTAAAGAAATCTAAAAAACTAATATCAATTCATTCTTGGAACGTTCTTCGAAGGCAGCCCTAGTAGGTTCGTTTCATATTTCGTAGAGAGAAGAG